TTCCCACTGGGAATCTGACACACAGCTATCTGCAGTCTCTGACTCCTGGTTGGCAGACAGTTCTTATTGACATTTCATACCTCAGAGAGTGCAAAGAAATATATCTACATTCAGTCCATCTCTGCATTGCTGCAGTCCCCTCAACATCCACTCATTGAATCCACCCAGATGGACACCACAAGCAAGCACAAAAGGAATCCACTTGTTGATTTCCAACACTTTCAGAACTTGGAACCCCCTGGTTTCAATATGTTCCTGGTTTTGCCCTCCTCCACTGCACACTACTTTCTTGGTGACCAGAGGTTTTAGAAGTAATTTCTGTTGTCCCAGAATAATTATTCTCTTTGGGGGTGGCTTTGAGGCTATGGATTAAGCTGGGACTAATCAATATTTGAGCTTGGTCCAGCCAGCATCAAGGTCCAATCCAGTACTCTCTTTTATTTTCATTTCAGCTATTACAACTGACAACAGCCAAGATGTTATATATTTCACATGTTTCTTATTAGTCTGCATTTCCTTATGCATCAAGTGAACCAACTCCCTGTTACCTTTTAGTTTAGTAGGACAGCTGCTGCTCCATACCACGGGTGACCATGTGGTCAGTCAGGAATCAAAGATTGTTCATCACTGCTTTTTTATGCATTCTCTTCCCAAACCATAGGTTTACCTAAGCAAAGGAAGTTCTAGTGAATCTCACCGTTTTTAACACCAAATGTATGTTTTTGAAACAACAACCAATTCTCTGGCACCAACTACGTTCAATTGGACAATTCCATTCTGACATCACCCAGAGTTAGTACAGACCCCAGAGGACTGCCCCCACTTTAGATGCCAGCTTCAAATGGGGTGGCCAGGCCACCAAACTTCTGCCCAGCCAACTACCAATTTGGGGGGGTTCCCATCACCTCCTCCTCAGGTTTGCAAATTCACTAGAGCTCACGGATCTCAATAAAGAACTTTAAACATATTAACCAGTTTACTATAAAGGACACAGCCATATGGAAGACATGTCTAAGAAAGGTATGCAGCTTGGGGATGGCACAGAGTATCCAGGACCTCTCTTGGTGCATCATCTTCCCATCACATCAGTATGTATACAAATAGCCCATTTTTCTTCATTCCATTTCTCTTGCTTGTTACAAAGAGAGTCAAATTTATTAGAAAGAGGACACACAAATCTCTCTCAATCTCCTCGTTCAAGTTTGTTTTGTGTTGTTTGTTTTTTCCCCACTCAATCTTCAGCAACCTTCCCCTCTGGGAAGGTGAAGAAGGGAATTTAAAGTTCAAACCATCCTATTTTTTTTTGGTCTTTCTGGTGACCAGCTTCCACCTTGTAGTTATCTAGGGACCTTATCCTTCTCTAGAGAGAAGTATAGGTTTGAGTTGCTTCTTACATATTAATTTGTTGGAATTCAAAGAAAATTTGAGGTTTTGCTTAATTTCCTAAAAACCTACATTTGGTGGAGGTAGAGCTAGTAGGAATATTCTGAATTAAGAAATGTTATATTTAATAATAATGTACAAGAATAATCATATTCCTTTTTGTTGGAAATGAAAGCCAGTTGTACCAGAATGCATGAATTATGCTGGCTTATTTGTTGGCTCTAAGAGTTGTTTCTTTTTTCATATTATGGTACTGAAAACAACACATACAACACACTATCCTATTCTTATATTAATTGCTTCTGCATTAGTTTGCTAGGGCTGCCATAATGAATACTATAGGCTGAGTGGTTTAAATAATAGTAATTTACTTTTTCATAGTTCTGGTGTGATCATAGTTTTGGCAGGTGTGGTTTCTTCCATGGCCTCTTCATGACCTGCTGCCTTCACAGCACGTCCTCACATTGTCTGTCTGCCTGCAAATGTCTGGGTCTTTAATTTCATCTTCTTATAGGACCACCAGTTATACTGGATAAAGGCCCACCCAAATGATCTCATTTTACCTTAATTACCTCATTAAGTGCCCTATCTCTAAATATAGTCACATTGTGATCTCCTGGGGGTTTGACTTTAACATATGAATTTTAAGAGGACACAACTCAGCCATAACACCTTCTTTGCATCCTTGTATGTTTTTAAATGATCTTTAAAATATTCTAGTTCCATATCACTGTTATTTAAATTTTGCATTTGCTTTTAATAGTTTATAGGCATAAGCTCCCCCCCGCCCCAAACGATCAAAGCAGTTAGTTGAACCCAGGTAACTCTTTGGCTACTAAAAAAGCATAGTGATAATAACACCTCTATTGTTGAATGTATATACAAACAGTCCATTTTTCTTTAACCATTTCTCTTGCCTATAATGAAAACAGCAGAATCTAGGGGAAAAACTGAAAAAAGAAAATTATATAGGGAAAGAAGAGTAGGAGAGATTAAACTGCACTGAATACCTAATACATTATTTCTAAGGATAATCTGGACCCGGAGGTCCCACCAAGAGAAGGTAGAAAGGCCTTCTATTCAGAGGGTATACTTTGGGGTTTCTCAAGGATTGTGTACCCTGCTCCCAGGCCTAAATATTGTTAAATATTATGGTTCCTCAACTATTTGGCAACATAAAGTAGTTATACCACAAAAACACTGCCAGAGAACAAGTTCAAACCTACAACAACTCCACCTGATTGGCTGGGTTGAAAACTTATTCTCTAGATCACATATTGTCTATCCACACACATCTAATAGAGCTTCCCAACTGCTATGACAGATGTGGAGGTTAACAGTACACTGGGATGTTGCTTTCGCCCAAGGCTGTGAACAGAAATCATCATTTGAGCATGCCCTAATGACAACAAAAGTCTTCTGTTGGGGTATAAATGTGATAGATACAATGGAGATCGAGATTTAGGAGTGAGCATTATGCTGTATTTGAAGCCCTGAGAATGGGTGAAAATACAGAGAGGGAAAGTGGAATGAGAGAGAATAAACCTAAGGACCACAACATGGAGAATATGAACATTAAAGAGAGAAATTTTGGAAGAGAAGCCAGTAAAAGATTTTAAGAAGGGCGAGCAGGAAAAAAAAAAAAAAGAAGGGCAAGCAGACAGGATGTAGAACCAGTTGGGCTGGTACCTGGGAGGCAAGGTTTAGTGACATGAGGACTGAAGTTTCCATGCCATTTAGCAGCAAGTGGTTCATTAGTGTCCTTAGTGAGGGTGGATAAGTGGGCACAATGGTAACAAAATCTAGATTTACAGTGACTGAAGGAGTAGGAGGTGGGGAAGACTGAGTGTTTATGACCTTTTATGAAGAAAATTAGCTGTGAGGGCGCCTGGGTGGCTCAGTTGGTTAAGCGACTGCCTTCAGCTCAGGTCATGATCCTGGAGTCCCGGGATCGAGTCCCACATCAGGCTCCCTGCTCAGGGGGGTCTGCTTCTCCCTCTGACCCTCTTCCCTCTCTTGCTGTCTCTCATTCTCTCTCTCTCAAATAAATAAATAAAATCTTAAAAAAAAAAAAAGAAAATTAGCTGTGAAGGGAATGATTGGGCTTTATATAAGTAAAGGGAAGTGGGAAAATACTGCTTCTTTCATTAAAGCAATGTAACAGTTATTTGCCCAATTAACACCGATTCTCCCCTCTTTCTTAGTCACAGCATCCCATCTTACTCCAAGTGACACCCTACTAAAAGAGAAGAGCTCCCAAACTTCCTTTCAGCTATGGGTAACCAATGAGATTATAATCTGATATTGCATGGGTTTTCTAGTATAACTCCTTAAGAACAAGACTGATCACAGAGCAGAAGTTGCTGTGGGCCCTTCTGCTCTTTTTTTTTAAATCCTTTCCCCGCCCCTTCCCTTGCTTTGCGCTTGCAACAGGCATCTTGGATCATGAGGCAAGTTGAAGAAGGAAGAGATTGGGTACTTTGTGATGCCAAGGTGCCACCAAACCGCACTCAGGCAGTCTACCTGCAGAGTTCTTTATGTGAAAGAAAATCTTTATTCTGTTTCACCCATGGCAAATTCCGTCAAACACAATTTCCACCAAATAATGTGGACACCCATTCCAAATTTTCAGTGGTCCCTGCAAGTCTTACTCCTGCCCTCCATTGAAAAAAATCAAAGTCATTCGATGCTAAAGCACTGAAATCCCTGCCTTGAGGACCTCATTTCCCTCTTATCCCAGTAACTTCTGTCCAAGGCAGAGCATTGCAGCCAGGTTTAGCTAACCTTGCCCTGCGCTTCCTCAGAACATCTTCCTAACATCCCTTCTCTCTCCACTATAGGTAACATCTCCCCGTCTGTCCATTCTGGCCTTAAAGCTACCGAAATCTCTCTCTTTAAAAAACAAAAAAAAAAATTCACAATCCTCCTTCCCACCCCACGACTCCCGTGAACTACTCTCCCAGAAGTCTTTCCTTTCCCCCACGTGCAAAAGAAAAGCGGAGTCCGTGCGCGCCAGCTTCTCCCTCAAACCGCCTACCTACCCGCTCACAGGCCACTTCCCCAGGCCCCCTGGCCCTCACTCGCCCCAAATGGCGCCCTGACTGCCAGAGCCTCTGCACCCCTGCTTTTTACTCGCCTCAGCGGGAAGCAGGCTGGAGCGCCCCTCCTTTGTGAATCGCCTCCTCTCAGGCCTGCACCGTGCAGGCTGGCCTCCTCCTTCCTCTCCCCTTGTCCTCAGTCAGCTCCTCTTCCTAAGTGTCGGAGGCGTTAGGCCCGAGGAAGGAAGGACACCAGGAGCTCAGAGGAGGGAACATAGGCTGTCCTAACTGAACACACTCAAATGGAAGGGCCGGTCTGGGAGAGCGGGGGGCGCAGGGACCGACCGGTCCTCTGGAAGCACCGACACCTGGGCGTCCACGCACTGGAGCTAGCATGGTGTGGAACACTCTTGAGCTTCTCCAGGTGCCTCGGGACAGAGCAGCCCGGCGGCGGGCCTCGCCCAGAGCGCATGCACCGGCCAGCGGCGGGAGGGCGGCGCCTGCGCAATAGGCAGGCAGCGCGTGCTAGCCAGGGTACGTAAGGGCGGGAGCCAGGGCGCCAGGTGCCGGGGACTCTCCGGGTCGCCGAGGTCGGTTTGGAGCAGGCGGGGGTGCGGGGATGCGGGTCCCGAGGGAGCAGGGTAGACTGGCTTGTGGGACGGGGGCGAGGTGTGAGCCGTGGGTAAGGAGACACTGGGCCCAGGGGAGGGGCTCCTCCAGAGCCGGAAGGGGCGGGATAGGCACGCCGGCCAGGCGGGGACCAGAGCCTGCAGGCCGGGCCCAAGCCACCGCCCTCGAGTGGAGCTCCTGGGCGTAGCCCGACGCGCTCCAGGCGCCGCACAGCTCCCCTCTTGGCCTCCCAGGCCTCAGTCTTCCTTCGGGGCTGCTGCTGCCGCTCAGGGAGCAGAGACTTGCTCTGGCAGGATACGGCCCCGCCCATGGGCAGCGCTGCCCTGTGTCCCCGATCCCAGCGAGCGGGAAGAGAAGGTGAGGACGCTGCCACCCAGACTTGGGGTTCTGAAAGGGACCTAGGATGATTTCTCCCTTCCTGGCCGCGCTGAGCGCCACTGCCCCTTCCTAAATATGAACACCTGTTTTTCAGCCTAGAAAATGAACTGCTCTTCAGAAAACAACGCGCACTTTGAGGGTGGTAACGCCAGACCCTTTTTTTATGTGCATGCTGTGGGCCAGCAGCCTTACCCGAGTCCCTGGTACCAGAATCCCACCTATAATCCATTCTCTGTTCCTGGGGCAGGTAAGAAATCTGAGAAGTTCAGTGGGGTTAGGGACCCTCCCCCTAGAGCAATACCTTAATCCACGACTTCCCTTTCCTCACCCTGTCCTGACAAAAGAGATTATGGCAGCACACAGGGGCAGTGTTTGAAGTTCATCTTAATAGGTAAAGTTGGAATTCTACCTATATGCCACTTATTCTGCCAAATACTGAAGTAGGCTCTCTCATTTGACCTCACCAACCCCCATGAGCTAGGTAACATTGCTGTGTTTCACAAGTGAGGCAACAGAGGCTCAGAGTCCGGGACTTGCCCAGAGTTACACAGGAGTCAAACCAAAATTTTATGTTATGAGACCAGTCTGGTAGAGGTACCTTAGAGCTCCTAGTCCTATTTTTTCAGCAAGGCCTAAAAATTCTAAAAGCTGTCATGGTGAGGTCAAAAAAATACTTTGGGAGAAGAATGATGAGTCTTAAAATGTTTGGGAGGTAGACCTCTGGGATTTCATGCATTATGGGGTGGGAGGGGGCTTTAGGCAGGGCAGGAGGATCCATGGGGTGATTCACCCTTCTCACCTCTAGTAAAGATTGTTAAATCTACTCTTTTGCTACCCTCTTGTAGATAAAACATGTTGTGTACCTTAAGCAACTTGTTTTCCAGGTAGAAAACTAGGTGTGACAAGGAGTGCGGCAGGCAGGGAGTGGAGGGGCAGAGGCAGAGAATCTCAAGTGCTGAGCTCCACACTAAGCTAACAGCTGGATGCGGAGCTCGATCCCATGACCCTGAGATCATGACCTGAGCCAAAACCAAGAGTCCAGTGCCACCACCTGAGCCACCCAGTTGGTCATTGCTCCCAGTTGGTAATAGCATCTTTTTCCTCTGCCTATTAATGATTCCATCCTCCCTGACCCTTGGCAGCCACTAATCTTTTTATTATCTCCATAGCTTTGCTTATTTCTGAAAGTTATATTGGAATCATATAGCATGTAGATTTTCCAGATTGGCTTCTTTTGCATGATGGGCATTTAAGATTTCTTCTTGTCTTTTCATAATTTTGCAAATGATTTGGTTTTACTGCTGAACATTTCATCGTCTGGTTTTATGACACTAGATATCCTCTCAACTACTGAAGGCTAGCTTGGTTTTTTTCAGGTTTTGGCAAGGGTATTTTTGGTTTTGGAAGAAAACAGCAAACCTTCCAAAGTAACTGTATCATTTTGCATTCCCAACAGCAGTGAATGAGTTGCTGTTGATCCCCATCTTCACCAGCATTTAGTGTTAGTGTTTAGGACTTTAGCCATTCTAATACCTATGTAGTGGTATCTCATTAATTTAGTTTGCATTTCCATGGTGACATTGTGGAGCATATTTTCATGTTTATTTGCCATCTGTATATCTTTAAGGTGTCTCTTAAGGTCTGGCCTATTATTTGGAGTTTTGTTTTCTTGGTATTAAGAGTGTTTTGGATGTTTTAGATAACAGTCCTTTATCAGATGTATTTTACAAATATTTTCTCCCAGTCTGTAGTTTGTCTTTTCACTTGACAGTGTCTTTTGCCGATTTTGATTTTAAAGAAGTCCAGCTTGGGGTGGTGGGGTTGGGGATTAAAAAGTCCAGGGGCGCCTGGGTGGCTCAGTCGTTAAGTGTCTGCCTTTGGCTTGGGTCATGATCCCGGAGTCCTGGGATCGAGCCCCGCATCAGGCTCCCTGCTCAGGGGGAAGCCTGTTTCTCCCTCTCCCACTCCTCCAGCTTGTGTTCCCTCTCTCACTGTCTCTCTGTCAAATGACTAAATAAAATGTTAAAAAAAAAAAAAAAGTCCAGTTTGTCAATTCTTACATGGATTATGGATTGGTATTGTAGCTAAGTCGTCAGTATCCCTAAGGTCATCTAGGTTTTCTCTCATGTTATCTTCTAGGTCTTACGGTTTCCACGTTTTACATGGAGGTCTGTGGTCCATTTTGAGTTAATTTTTGTGAAGGGTGTTTGTTGTAAGGTCTGTGTCTAGAATCACTTCTTGGACGTGTATGTCCTGTTGTTCCAGGACAGTTTATTGAGAGGACTATCTTTGCTCCATTGTATTCTCTTTGCTCCTTTGTCAAACATTGGTTGAGCACCTTTATGTAGGTTTCTGTGTTAGCTCTCTATTCTATCCTGTAGATCTATTTGTAATTTCTCATGTGTTGGGTAGATTTCACCAGTGAGCCTGGCGCTTTCTGTTCTGGAAGGTAATCAGTTATTGATACAATAGATATAGGTCTTAATAGATTAACTTAATAGGTATAGGCGTATGGAAATGTCCATTACTACTTGTGTGAATCTGGCAAACTTTGCCTTTCCAGGAATTGGTTGATTTTGTCTAGGTTATGGAATCTTGGAACAGAGTTCATAGTATTTCTTTTATCTTTCCTAAGTTAGAGGCTAGATGATTGATTTTTAGATCTTTACAAAGCTTTAAATTAAAAACACTGCCTTCGTGCCATCCAACAAATTTTGACAAATTGTATTTTCACTTAGTTCCAAATATTTAGAACTTCCCAGATTTCTTCATTGATTCAGTGTTTCTTAGTAGTGTATTTAATCTCAAAGTATTTGGGATTTTACAGTGATCTTTGTTTTCTATATTCAGTTATAGGTTAAGTGCAGACACTGTTTGATTAATATGTTTTTTAATTTGTAAAAGTGTTTTATGGTCCACAATATAGTCTGTCTTGCTGAATGTTCCATGTGGGTGTGAGGAGATGTGTATTCTGTTGGATGAAGTAATCTGTGTGGATGTCAGTTATTTCTAGTTGGTTGAGGGGGGTGTTGTGTTTGATTGTCTTTGCTGCTTTTTTTACCCACTGCATCTGTCCTGTTCTGATAGAGGAGTGTTAAGGTCTCCCAATGGTAATAGTGGATCATTTTATTTCTCCTTGCAGTTCTATCACTTTTTGCCTCCCATAGTTTCACCCTCTGTTAAGGGCATACACTTTAGGGATTGTTATGTTTCAGTGAAGAATTGATGTTTCATATAATGCCACTTTGTATCCCTGATCATTTCCCTTGCTCTGAAGTCTGCTCTGTCTGAAAGAAATAAAACATGTCCACTTTCTTTTGATTAGTATTAGTATAGTACATCTTTCTCCATGCATTTATTTCATTCCTGTCTTCATATTTATTCATTTTTAAAGATTTATTTATTGGGGGGGGAGGGGCAGAGGGAGATGGAGAGAGAGAGAGAATCTCAAGCAGACTCCACGCTGAGCAGGGAGCCTAACATGGGATTCAATCCCATGACCCTGAGATCATGACTTGAGCTGAAATCACGAGTCAGATGCTTAACTGACTGAGCCACCCAGGCAGCCTTCCTGTCTTCATATTTATTTATTTAATTTTATTTATTTTTAAAGATTTTATTTATTTGACAGAGAGAGAGTGCCAGAACACAAGCAGGGAGAAGCAGGCTCCCCACAGAGCAGGGAGCCCGATGTGGGGCTCGATCCCAGGACCCTGGAATTATGACCTGAGCTGAAGGCAGACGCTTAACCGACTGAGCCACCCAGGAACCCCCGTCTTCATATTTAAAGTGAATTTTTTGTTAACACACGTTTTGGCTTTTGTATATCTTGTAATGTTTTCTTGATTGCCAGGCATTCTGTACTGGATAAAAAGAAATGCTTTAAGTAGGCTTTAGTAATGTGTTAAGTTGTGGAGGTGGGACAGGGATCATAGTCCTATGGTTATTGAAGGACTATAGTTTTAGGTCTCAGTCTTTTAGTGAGATTGTGCCTTTGGACTATGAACTACACATCTACTTAACTTTCCTCCTCCCATTGGGTAGGGAAGGGTGGTTAGGGTTGGTTTGAGATAAGTATTTGCCTACCCACCCCACCATCAGTTAGGCTCTAGTTAACTAGCTTGTTCTGAGGTATGGCCTTGCCAAAAATAGTTTTCCTGGCATATATCACAATGCCTTCTTGTTCCCACTCTCCCTGTGGGAAGCACAGGGCATTTTTCTCCTAGATTTACTGTGAGAACGGGTTGAGCTATTGAAGATAAAACTCAAAAAAAGCAAAGGTTCCCCTTGCAGTTTTGAACTGTCAGATGTGTTGACCCTGAGCCTGCAATTTGTCAATAACAGTTCAGGTTTCCCTACCCTACAACTAGTTCCCATAGAATTTTTATCTCTTGGATTTGTGTTCCTGTAAATTGTGCTTGTCTACAGTCACATATCTCGCCAACATTGGGGGTAGCACTTTGCCCTGTAACCTAGTGCTGCGAAGGATCTGAAAAGAGTTCTTGATTTTTTTTTTTTTTTTTCAGTTCAGGTTTTTTATTTTGTTTGGAGTAAGTGACTTCCAGGCTTCTTACACATCCAGAATCTGGTGTCTACTACCTTTTAATGTTAATTACATATGCAGTACACAGTGCTATGCAATTGAAATAGAGGGTTGAATTTATGCATTAAGTGAGATATAGCATTTATCTTTCTCTGTCCAACTGATTTCTCTTAAGAAAATGCCTTCAAGGTCCCTCTGTTGTCACAAATGGTGGGATTTTTTTTTTTTTTTATCCTTCCCTTCTTTTTTTTTCTTAAAGATTTTGGTGGCATTTGGAAGAGAGTATGGAAAGAGGATGTCCCAGAAAAGTGAAGAGTAGTTGCCCTGAGGGGGAACCCACATACAGCTAGAGCCTACAGGCTTAGTGGGAGAGTGAGATGATAGAGTGACAAATCAGATAATGAGGGCCTTTTGGCATCCTAAGGAATGTAGTCCTTGTTCCTCATTTCCTCACTGGCAGTGACAAGCCCTTCAGATCTGTCTCTGGAGTGAGGGATCAGAATTGGGTCAGAAAGATAATTCTAGTAGTGGTGTGGATCACTAACCTATGATACATCAAGGAGATGGGTCAAGGAAATTAGTAGGAGTTACTGAGGTAAAAACGTGGGAGATGACTTAAAGTCCTTTGCAAGGTTGCAGAAGGGGGAAGGCATTAGAGTAGCCATAGATATTGCTGATTGGGGGGGAGAAAAACCCCAACACCCGTGTTTTTGTAGAGGTTGCCTGATAGGGTCCTGCAAGGGTTTTAGTGACAGGGACCTGCTATTAAGGTATTTTGTTCCACTGTGTGATACAGTACAACATGTATGGTGGGAAGTTATCTGTCTCTGTAGTTACACGAACTTCATTCTGTTGACTTCTAACCTCTGTAGACAATGTTGAACTCCAAGCTGAGACATGTCTGCTTCCTTTCAATGAAGGAAAAAATCCATGAGCTTGTATGTATAAATACCTTAGCCAGGTCCAAGAGGCGTTTTGGTCAATCCAACAGTGAAATTGAGTTCATAAGATCAACCTCACCATATTGAGTAAGTTGCCTACTGACACCGATCTCAGGATAACTATTGCTTTTATATACTTAAAAGTTTTATCTTTGTCAGTTGTATAAATAGGTTGTACGACATCCAGTGTCTTAGCCCACGTGAATTTGTGTGACGGAAATGCATCTGGTGTTACTGGCACCACTGCACTGTTTACTTCTGCAGCCTGGGAAACGGGAAGCTGTATCTGTGAATGAATGGTGCGGAATGAACAGGTTTAGAAAGGCTTGTACTTTTGTTCTTTGCTCTATAAGTGCTGACACAATTATTCTTTCCTCAGCCACAACAATCCTGAATTATGCTTGGGGGGTGCTAAGTCTCTCTGAAAAAGTCACTACTAAGTAGGGGTGATTCATAATATGCTGACTATCTGATGGCCTGGCAACCAACCCATCAGACAGATGCTTGCTCTTGTGGTGAAGGAGGATTCTGGAGGTCCCACCGTTCAGATCCTGAGGATATCCAGGGAGAAGTGGGGGCCAGTAGCTACCAACTGGCATGCAAGAAACTGCGTATTTTACCAATCGGTGTGGCCACGTGACTGCGTACCGGCTGAATGTTGTGACTGGCTGCGGGAGACCGAGTGGCTGACTACTGTGTTCTCTTCCTAGGTTTCAGAAATGGAAGTCTGTATTTTCCATATTCAGTGGTACTCAGTGAGTCTCCTGGCTTCCTCATCCCTCAGTCCCCGTTGCCCACTGCGCTTAACCGAAGACCTGTGTTCTGTAACACAGCACAGTTCCGTCAGTGTAGTGGCTATGGAAAGAAAACGAAGACGAAAGAGACTCAGACTGAACCTCATCAGGCTGAAAACAGGACTCAGAAATAAGACACCCACTCAGAAGGTGGTATGGTGACCAGTATCCCGACTTCTAATATTGACACAGAAACTGACAACATTCCTGAACCAACAGATGGGTTTTTTTCATCTGTAGCCCAGAAGCAGCAGCTACATGGTGAGAGCCCTTCTCCTGACACTGTGTATAGAACATCACCTCAAGTAAACTATGCATCTGGGAAAGGGGAAATGAGGCTAGAACAGAGCAGAGGATCCCCTGTAACACAGTTCTGGGAGACTTTGAAGGAAACTGTCCGTTTGTATGACCTAGCTTATGGTAAAGCCATGCCAGACATCATGGTGCAGCATGGTGGGATGTCACAGAGTTCTCGTGAGAGTACAAGTGTGCTTCGTAACCATCACGAGGGTGCAGATGGCATTACGTGTAACGATGAAGAAAGCACTATCTGGTCGGAGCCGTGTCATGATATAAGATGTGATGAGGTGGTAAAGTTGGGCTCCATCATGGAAATGAACTTGGGTAAAGAAAAAGGCTATGCAGCTGTTCCCCAATTCCTGTCCTCTCCAGATGAAGCGAAAGACAAAGATGAAGTCCAGGATACCCTGAACTCCAATCTGTGCCAGTCTTCTGGAGATGGCAATAAGCTCCAGCAGGAAAGGCCAGTCTGTTCCAGCAATAAAGCCGTTGAGGACCTGAGCCTAGAGTCCAAATCCCGGAGTCCCATTAGCTTTGGGGAAAGCATGCCAGACAATGGTAGTGGGGGCCGTGGCTTCCCTGTGAAAGTGGACGAAGGTGAAGTGGTAGAGAGCAACAGCTACCCTGAGAATTATGTCCTTCCCCCTACCTCCCTGGCCCAGTTCAGCCAGGTCACTGAAGGCATTCAATGTGATATGAGCCATTGGCAGGATGCAGAGCACGGGAAATCCCCTGAGTCCTCACCAGAAAGCAGAAAGCCAACAGAAGAAGAGGCAGTCAGGTGTGGGGAACTGGATGAGGTGGTAGAGAGGGACAGCTATTCAAAGTATGTTCCTCGCCCTGCCTGGTTGGCCCAGATGAACAGCAGGGGGGTGGATGAAGGGATTCAGTGTGATAGGAGCTGGTGGCAGGAGGCAGAGCTGGAGAAATCCCCTGAGCAAATGCCTTGCAAAGATGAAGAATCATCACCAGACTGCAAAACTAAGGGATCATGGAAGACCATCACGAATGGGAAGTTGAAAACAGATGAAGAAGAAATGACCGTGAATGATGAGATTGAGGAGGAGGATCATGAGAACTTCAAAAAGTGTGCAAAGATTAAAAAAACTGTGAAAGGCAGGAAGCAGAAATCCCTGAGCAACTTCTCAAGTGGGAACACAGTCTACTTATTGAAGAAAAATGCTGCCTTGAACACTGTACTTCCCAAGGATTCAGAAGACTGTGAGTTGGAAGAGGAAGCTGAAGATGAAATGTATGAGACAGAATGCCTCTTTGAAGAAGTTAGTCCACTGGGCCCTGTGACATCTTCCAAAGGAAGGATTTATCGTGAGGCTGGCAGGATCATCAGGCTGCCACCTGAGTGCTCTCTGCCTCCCCAACTTATTGTGTGGCCCACCAGAAATAAGTACAGGTTAAAGCTTGGAGAATACGAGAGCATCCCCATGGTATGCGCAGTGACAGGACAGAATGGCAGGTTCCGAGGGGAGGGACTGGAGTCCAAGAGAGCCTCTCACAAGGCCTGGGAATGTAAGTGACTAACGGGCTTGTCCTGTGTGGTTGTCTGTAGTGGTTCCATACTGGGTCCTGGATGCAAAGGCCATCATAGATTAATAGTATTTCTCCATTTTGAAAGTATGTTTTTCAACAACTGTAGGTGCCCATGTTTGTAGGATTGGCAGAGATCCCAGGTTTGAGGTCCTGCATTCTAGGAAACTGTAATGTAATTTGAAACAAAGAACTGGGGCGCCTGGGTGGCTCAGTTGGTTAAGCGACTGCCTTCGGCTCAGGTCATGATCCTGGAGTCCTGGGATCGAGTCCCGCATCAGGCTCCCTGCTCAGCGGGGGGTCTACCTCTCCCTCTGACCCTCTTCCCTCTCGTGCTTTCTCTCTCTCATTCTCTCTGTGTCAAATAAATAAATAAAATCTTAAAAAAAAAAAGAAAGAACTGTAGGAGATGATGGAGAGCTGGGTGGTGGTAAAGGACAGGGGGCTGAGAGAGAAAAGAATCATGGACATAGATCTAGATGGAGTTGCTGAGAACACGCAGTCCACGTGGAGGCGGTGAATTTTGATACAAATTTGGGGGCTGTGGTTTGGAGTGAGAATGGAGAGAGTAGCATGGGCTCAAATGGGCAGCCAGCGCAGGTCAAGTGTGTTCCAGGGATTGAGCCTGAGAACAGCCAGCCAGAGGGGAGACCTGTGATGAGTTGGGAAAGTGGGTCTGAGCAGAATAGGCTAAAATAGTAGAAATTTTCCTTTTTAGATTTTTGTCCTGTAGGCAATAAGGAGGTGCCAAAACTGAATAGAGAAAGGCAGGAAGAAAAGTGTTCTAGGCATCTTTAGCTGATGGTAGAGTGTAGGAGGAATTTGAAGCCTGTCTGTATGGCTGAAACCCCTGTATAAAGTCAGTTTAACTGAACATTGCATATAAAGTGATAAGGTCCTAACTCACATGGGAGTAAAAGATATACATCTCAGAGAATTCATTAACAAAATTGACTCTTTAAGAAAAAAAGGCTGGGGGGCACGCCTGGGTGGCTCAGTCGTTAAGTGTCTGCCTTCGGCTCAGGTCATGATCTCACGGTCCTGGGATCGAGCCCCGCATCGGGCTCCCTGCTCCGCGGGAAGCCTGCTTCTCCCTCTCCCACTTCCTCTGCTTGTGTTCCCTCTCTCGCTCTGTCTCTGTCAAGTAAATAAATAAAATCTTAAAAAAAAAAGAAAAAGAAAAAAAGGCTAGGATTTGAACTTGAATACCTATAGAAAATGATAACATCCATGGAAAAGTAAAGTTGGGAAGGGAAATTGTTTTGCTTTACTGTGTCGTTGTCGGCTGGACTAGCAGGATCTTGCACATCTGGTTGAAGCTTGAGTTTGGACCACCCTATGTTTAGGGAGGGGGCTCAAATGAGTGGGAAGGGCCCAAAGTAGACCCTGGGTGATGATTATACCTGGGGCGCAAAAATGAAATGAAGTGGGTAAGTGATGAATAGGATGCATAAGGGTCCCCGGGGAAATTTAATTAAGTTCCAGTCTTAGTTTTTAAACCAAAACACTGTCCATCTTACCTTTAGTCTTCTCAAAGTCTCAGTTGCCTCTGCTGTCATTTCCCATCAGTGTATAGGATGTTTTTTCCATCCTATCACGGCCCTGTGAAGAAAATAACTTCAATTTACTCTTGGTTACATGGTTAAGATTGTAATTTTCAGGCTGAATTGTCTAGATTGTGCCTTATTATTGTTTTTTTCAAATGATTTTTTTTCTGGACTGTAGAATCATACAGAATAGTATCTTGAATGATAGATTTTTCTTGAAAGACGTGGTTTTCTTTGAAAGATGTTTTTTGGATTTCTGTTTTCCCTTTTGTTTTTAAGCAACTTGGGTAATTTAATGCATGAGTCCCTTCTTCCCTCAGGTAACTGTGAGAGATGGAAAACTGAGGTACCTTACAAAGTTTCGAACAGATCGAGGCAGATGCTCTGTACCTGCTGTACACAGGTATCTATCCTGTGTCCAATTTGGTTGTCTCATGATTGGCTTTTAGGGCTTTGTTTGGGGTTTCCTACTCAGTGTGTGTTCTGCCCTCCAAAACTAACACTGCTTGTGGGCAGTGAAAAATGGCAGCATTCTGACTGCGTTATAGACCTGTAGATCTATAGATCCTCGCTTACAAGTAGATTGGAGCCAAAGCCTTTCAGTCCTGTGGAATGTCATTTTTATGCTGATTTTCCACATTTAATTCCCAGGGCTGTGAATGGTAGTCTTGTGTGTTATATGGGGTTTTGTAAGTTATCCTGGTGGCTTCACTTAAAGTGTCCCAGTTTAGTGGTGGTAGAGCTGGGTACTGGAAGTTCAGGGTCTCCCTTAAGGGGCTTAGTAGCATGACGGGCTCTCCTTCAGACTGAGTTTTGGCATTAAGTATCCCTGCCCCACCTTCAACCTCTAGGCCTGGAGTGTCAGGGAGTAAGCAGTTTCTGGCCTTTTAAAGGCCATCCTGCCTTGCAGTGATTATAAAGGGAAGTCCGATAACCAAGGCAAAAATGTCATGATCTTCAACCTTCTCCTAAAGATGGAAACTAACGACATTAGTAATGATTCTCTGTAGATCTTGAGTCTGTTACACAATCAATTTAAGGAAATGTAGTATTCCATTGTTATTTCATAGGAAAGAAATTGCTGAGTTCCAGCTACATAATAGAAGAGCTAAATAGTATATCATCATGATGGCTTAAAGTCCCTTGATTTGAACTAATAAAGTGATTATACCAACAAAAAGAAAATGTGACATTGCAAAACCTTTGGAATTAAAAGGTATAAAACAGCAAATAAAGTCAATTGCGTGGTTGTGTGATTCTCAAGCATTTTTTCCCGTCTCAAAATAGCCACATCACTGGTAACACCACCAGTAGAGCTGGGTCATTCATGAATACTTCTGCCATGTATATTACTGTCTTATAATCTCCAGGGACCTTTACATATGAGGAAAAGGATGGTGGAGTTGAGGATGGAATAAAGAGATGAAGGATTCCCCATAAACAGGAACTACTCTGGGAATGGTGAAGGTACCTTACTCATTTTGTATAAATGGAAACCAGGCATAGAGTAGCTTCACTGATGGATCCATCCAGGAGTAGTCTGTAGTAGTGTCTTCTGTAGTTCCACCCATTGTACTCCTTGAAACAAAGGAAACTTTAGGGAAACTTTTTTTTTTAAAGATTTTATTTATTTATTTGACAGAGAGACTGTGAGAGAGGGAACGCAAGCAGGGGGAATGAGAGAGGGAGAAGCAGGCTTCCCGCTGAGCAGGGAGCCCGATGTAGGGCTCGATCCCAGGACCCTGGGATCGTGACCTGAGCCAAAGGCAGACACTTAACCAACTGAGCCATTCAGGCGCCCCAGGGAAACCATTTTTCATGCTTTTAAAACCTAAGACCTAGATGGTCAACTTGTAATCAACAGTGTCTCAATAAATGGTAGAGTTTAAATCTGACTAGGTACCAAAAAGATTTATATGTGGCTGAAGACTCCCTATATTTGAAAGAAAAAGGCATGGTAGCATTCAGATGTGGGATTTTATTGTTGTGTGACCAACAATGCCTCTTTGGAGGCATATATGAGTATATGTATGGGAACAGCAGTGTTGTCTCTATGTTAAGCTGTGTGAACATATACTTCCTGTATTTGTAACTCCTTATACTAACCTAATACTTCTGTAGATAGCATAGTGAAATGTAAAATGTGATAGCAATGCTGTGGAGGCAAGGAAGACAGTATTACAAAGCCGGTTTTACATAAAGATGTATGACTTTGCATTATTCCCAGCTCAGGACTGCTTTAACTCCAGTTCTGGCCTGTATCCTATGTAACCTATGGCTGGAGAAGGTTATCTGCTTATACCCAATGTACTGTTTTCATTTTCATGACATGACACATGAAGCAGGCATACTTGTCGCACCTTTGAACCATGGTGTACATTTTTTGTGCTAATGATAATTGCTATATCTTCTATGGTATATCCCCATTATGTAGTTAATTTTTTTAAAAAAGATTTTATTTATTTGGACAGAGAGAGCGCGCGTACGACCACAAGCTGGGGGAGCGGGAGCGGGAGAGGGAGAAGCAGGCTCCCCGCTGAGCAGGGATCCTGATGCAGGACTCGATCCCAGGACCCTGGGATCATGACCTGAGTCAAAGGCAGACGCTTAACCAGCTGAGCCACTCAGGTGCCCCTATGTAGTTAATTTTTTAAATAACTACTAGAGATAACAGTTTTCTATGCCCACCCCCACCCCACCACGTACAGATTGCGTTCTGAGTTCTGCTACACGTGTGTTAGAGCCTTTGACCTCATCACAATGTCCTCTGTATCCCCTTGCTCTATAAAATCTGGGGACTAAGGTTCTGGACTTTATGGGTAATAGTTGTGTGGATGCCTGGATCGTAAACCATCTGATTCCCTGTCAGTGAGTTACCCTAAAGAAAATTGTAAACTGTAGGGAGTTGCTTGCTTTGTTTTCTGGTTTCAAAGTACCTTCTCAATTGGAGGGGTAATTTACTGTCCCTCCTCCATCTAACACCACGTGTGGGGTTGGGCCTGCGGTTCATGAGTGGGTGGACACAAGCGGTGCAGTATGGTATCCACTGGTATGCACTGGTACTTCCAATGGAGAATCTATCCATTCAGTAAGATTATATTGAATACTAATATGTCATTCAGTGTTTTGGAGGCTGAGGATATAACAGGGAGCATAGTCTGAGCCCTCAAGAAGTTACCAGATTAGTGGGCAGTCAGGCAAGGAAATAGTCACTTTAGAGTGTGCTAGGTGCCTTGGTATTGAGAAGCACACAGGAGGAGCAGCTGAGAGATTCTGGGATTGGGCTAGGCTTCTGATTCAGAATTGAGGTGACTGTTGGCACCATCTTTAGAGTAAAAAAATGCTGAAGGTATCTTGCTTGAGAGCCGATAGAATGGTGGAATGTCTACAGGACATCGAAGTGAATAAGTCTAGGGCTCTCGAGAATGTTCAGGGCTGTCATCATCAGAGTATTGATACTTTAAGCCATAAGCATCACTGAGAACAGAAGAGTGAAGAGAAGGTCTAAGCCAGAACTGTGAGAAACATTCCTATTTAAAGGACTGAAGCCAAGAGTTACACTGGAGGGTAAGCAGGAGCAGCTAATGAGATAGTTTGGTTAGAGCATCTGAAAGGGTGTCATGAAATCCAGTTGCTAAGGATCTTTCATGAAAAAGTGGTCAACAGTGTCAAATGCTAAAAAAAGGACTAGAAAGGATTTGTTAGATTTGATAATGGCAATACTGGTGGTCCTAGCAAGAGCACTTTCAGAGATGTTATGGACTGAATTATGCCCCAAGCTTCATATGTTGAAGTCCTAACACCCAGTGTGACTACATTTGGAGAACAGGACTTTAAAGGAGTAATTAAAGTTAAATGAGACCATAAGACTGGGTGCCTGATTCAAAAGAACTGTTCTTACAAAAGAGCAAGAGAGAACAGAGTGCTCTGTGTGGGCATAGAGGAAAGCCACCCTTTGTAAAAATCTGAGTATAACTTGACTCCCCCACCCCCAAATTTCTAATAGCCTACTGTTGACTGGAAGCCTAAACAGGTAACATAATTGGTTAACACGCATTTTGTATGTTGTATTATATACTGTATTCTTGCAATAAAGTAAGTTAAAGAAAAAGTGTTAAGAAAATCATAAGAGAAAATACATTTACTGTATTTGTAGAAAAAAAATCTGCGTGTAAGTGACCCACAGAATTCAAACCCATGCTGACAAGGGTCAACTGTATGGGTAATTCTTTCAAGAAACTGCTCAAGTAGTGACCCCCAACTGAGGCTGTTTCCATACATTTTATTTATCTTATTATTAAGCCATTTTATTGAGGTATGATTGCTGCACATTGTGTACAACTTGATGAATTTGGAGATAAGTATATATCTGTGAAAATATTCCCCACAATCTATGCCATAAACCTTTAAACGTTTGTTCCTGCATGCATGCATGCTCTCTTTCCCTCCCTCCCTTTCTCTCTCTCTCTCTCTCTATATATAACTCTCTCTCTATATTTATATATATGTAAAACTCTATATAAAATTATATATAGAGAGAGGACATAAGATCTTCATAAAATATTAAGTATATGATATAGTATTATTAATTGTTGGCACTATGCTATGAAGTCAATTTCTAGGATTTATTTATCTTATATAAGTAAAACGTTTTACTCTTTGATACCTTCTTGTTTCCCCCTCACCCTAGCCCCTGGGAACCACCATTCTACCCTCTTGTTTCTGTGGGTTTGACTATTTTATTTTAAGATTTTTTTTTTTAATTTGAGAGAGAGAATGAGATAGAGAGCATGAGAGTGGGGAGAGTCAGAGGGAGAAGCAGACTCCCCGCTGAGCAGGGAGCCTGATGTGGGACTCGATCCCGGGACTCCAGGATCATGACCTGAGCCGAAGGCAGTCGCCTAACCAACTGAGCCACCCAGGCGCCCAGGTTTGATTATTTTAGATTCAGGTGGTGTTATGTAGTATTTGTCCTCTGTGTCTGGCTTATTTCAGTGAGCATAAAGTCCTCCTCTTTCATCCGTGTTGTCACAAACTGTAGGACTTCCCTCTCTTTTATGGCTAAATAATACTACATTGTGTTTACCCATTTATCTGATGATGGACATTTTCATTGTCTGCATGTCTTGGCTATTGTGAATCATGCTGCAATAAACATGGGAGTGCAGTACCTCTTTAAGATCCTGATTCTAATACCTTTGGATATATACTTAGACTTGGGGTTAGTAAAAAAAGTAATTATATTTTTAAGTTTTTGAGGAACTGCCATACTGTTTTTGGTAGCAACTTCAACCTATTTACATTGCCACCAACAGTGTACAAGGTTCTCTTTTCATCACATCCTCACCAACTTTTTTTTTTTTTAAAGATTTTATTTATTTATTTGAGAGAGTGAGAATGAGAGAGAGAGAGCATATGAGAGGGAGGAGGGTCAGAGGGAGAAGCAGACTCCCTGCTGAGCAGGAAGCCTGATGCGGGACTCAATCTGGGGACTCCAGGATCATGACCTGAGCCGAAGGCAGTCGCTCAACCAACTGAGCCACCCAGGCGCCCCCTCACCAACTTTTATTATCTTTTTTTCGTAATAGCTATCCTAACAAGTATGAGATAATATCTTATTGTGCTTTTGATTTGCATTTCATTTCCCTCATCAGTTATTTTTTTTTAAGGTACTTGATGGTTATTCTTTGGAGAAATGTCTGTTCAATTCCTTTGTCTGTTTTTAAAATCAGCTTGTTTTCTTGCTATTGAGTTGTAGGAGTTCTTTATATATTTTGTATAATAACCCTTTATCAGAGATATATGGCTTGTAAATATTTTCTCCCATTCCATAGGTTGCCTTTTCATTTTGATTGTTCCTTTGCTGTGCAAAAGCTTTCTTAGTTTGATGTGTTGGTGTCATAGCCAAGACCTCAGTGTCAAGACTAATGTCAAGAAGCTTTTTCCTATGTTTTCTTATAGGAGTTTTGTAGCTTCAGGTCTTAACATTATCTGTCTATCTATTTTTTATTATTACTATTATTTTTTTTAAGTAAACTCTACGACCAATATGGGGCTTGAACTCATGACCCTGAGATCAAGCGTCACATGCTCTACCAGCTGAGTCAGCCAGGTGCCCCTCAGGTCTTAACATTTAAATATTTACTCCATTTTGAGTTGATTTTTGTGTGTGGTATAAGATAAGGTTCCAGTTTTATTCCTTTGTATGTCGATATTTTTGGTTGTCACAAGTGAGGAGTGGTGGTGCTAGTGGCATCTAGTGGGTAGAGGCTAGGGATGATGCTGAATATCCTACAATGCACAGAAGAGACCCCCACAAGTGAGATTTAGCCCCTGAAATAAATAGGGCCAAGGTTCAAAAACCCTGCTGTGGGTGTCTGGCTGGCTTAGTGGGTAGAACATGCAGTGCTTGATCTTGGGGTTGTAAGTTTGAGCCCCACGTTGGGTGTAGAGATTACTTTAAAAATAAAATCTTTGGGGCGCCTGGGTGGCTCGGTCGTTAAGCGTCTGCCTTTGGCTCAGGTCATGATCCCATTGTCCTGGGATCGAATCCCACATTGGGCTCCCTGCTCAGCGGGAAGCCTGCTTCTCCCTCTCCGGCTCCCCCTGCTTGTGTTCCCTCTCTCGCTGTGTCTCTCTCTGTCAAATAAAAAAAAAAAATCTTTAAAAATAAAATCTGTAAGGGACTCCTGGGTAGCTTAGTGGGTTGAGTGTCTGATGCTTGGTTTTTCCTCAGGTCATGATCTTGTGACTCATGGGATTGAGCCCCAAGTCGGGCTCCACGCTTGGCAGGAAGTCTGCTTGAAGGTTCTCTCCCTCTGCCCCCCGCCCCCGACTCATTCCCCCCACCAAAAAAATCTTTAAAAAAAAATCTTAAAAGAAAAAACCCAAAACAAAACAAAATTCCTGCTGTAAAGGAGAGGAAAGAGCTAGACAGATACGGGATCAAGGGAGGATTTTGTTTTTTAAAGGGATGAAAGAATCTTGAGGTTATTAGTTGCTCTTGGGCAGGGAAATGGACCCCTTTAAACAAGGTAAGAGGTTGTGAAAATTGATACAGACTTTCTTGGAGGGCAATTTGGTAGTATATGTGAAAATTAAAATATGTAATTCCACTATTAAAGAGCTATTCTTTTGAAATACGCACACATGTACACTAAGATATTTACTCATAGGTTTTCATTACAGTGTTTGTGGGAAGATGGAAGATTTTGGAACCAATTCCAACGTGTATGTGGGAATTCTCAGGACACCAGCAGGGTGTCCTACAATTTAACTTAATTCTGATACTAAATACCTGGAGAGAGTATCAAATTCCACAGGTAAGGGGCTCAGTCCTACAAGATTGCCCCACCCCTCTTCAAATGCCACTCAAAAGCCCAGGTTATCACTTATGTATGATTCTGATAGACTAGGTTGAATGTTCCAATGCCCCCTGCTTTGGGTTTGATTAATTTGCTTAGAGCAGCTCAGAGAATACACACATTTTACTTACTATAAAAGTAAAACTCAGGAACAGCCAGACATAACAGCTGCTTGTATGTGCGGAGGGGTGAGGAGCTTCTATGCCCTGTTCTGGTGTGCCACTCTTCCAAGACTTCCATGTGTTCACCCTTCTGGAAGCTCTCCAAATATACTAGAGGCTCCATATTACATGGGCATGATTGCCTATTGGTGATTCATTCACTCTCCTGCCCTTTTACCCTCCCCTGAAATCAGGGGTGTGGGACTGAAAATTCCTGATGTTATACATCCTTAGGTGTTTTCCAAAATTCACCTCATTAACATAAACCCAGTTGTGGTGGAAAGGGGCTTGTTATGAGTAACAAAACACCCATTTTGCCTTTATGGCTCTGAAGTGATTTCAGGAACCAGGAACAGGAGACCAAATATTAAAAAAAAAAAAAATTCTTCCATTGCTCTCCTCAGTCATGAAATTCCAAGTGTTTTGGGGAGATGTGATCCAGAAACTGTGGATAAAGACCAAACGTATACGAGAAATATATTTTGGTCATCTGAATGACCATGTAGGGGGCTAAGGGCAGGTTGCTTCAGATGGGTCACTTTGACATGAATGTTGAGTTAAAAGCAATAAAAACCCAACCGATTGAGGAAAAGCTCTTTATCTCCCCCTCAACTGCCTGCCTGTACCAGGAAGAGCGCTATTAACAGATTCCTCTTTATCTAAGATACTTATTTGCATAATAGGGCAGCCTTTGTTTTCCAAGCATCTCTCCTCTCCCTGCTAATGTCTTGCTCAGTCCCCTACTCCTGTCCTTAGCTCATATAAGCGTCTTATTGCTTCACTGTCTTTGGAATTTCATACGTAGGAAACTTTGATTTTCTCTTGTTATTCTGTTTCATGTCAATTTGATTCTTAGTCCAGCCAGAAGGACCTTGAAGGGCAGAGAACGTTCTCCCTCCACAACAACCAACCCCATACATATTTTTCATAAATCACCATTCCATAGAAGGATAAATAAGAAACAACTGAATTGCACAAAGAAGAATGGTTAAATGGTTAAGTAGCACATTCCCACCAAGGATTTTGTGGCCATTTAAAGCTTGTAGTAAGCAGTAAGACTGCCAAGATAGAGTAAGGGAGATGAAGTCATAGAATAGTATTCATAGTGTTTTTCAGTTATGTCAAACTAATTAAAAAAACTGGTAATGTATTTTTTAAAAGATCTTGACGGCTCTATAAAACCATTTAAAGTAGATTTTCCTTTCACTTTTTACTCTGTAATTGCTCTGAATTGGGAACTTTTTATGATCATGTATTTTAAAATTTTACTGAAACAAAAATTTTTTTTAAGAAGGCTCCATGCCCAACATGGGGCTTGAACTCACAACCCTGGGATCAAGAGTTGCATGTTCTACTGACTCAGCCAGCCAGGTGCCCCTACTTTTATAATTTCAAAACAGTTTTTAAATGCCAGTGGCAACAGAGAATGCAGTAGGATAATGAAAGGAGGAAGATCCCTGAGGAAGCAGGAACAGATAATGATGATAGCATAAGTAAGAGCAGGAGCAACTAACGTTCATTTAGCAATTGAAATGTTCCAAACTGTGTTCTAGATGTTTTACAACTATCAGGACACTTAATTCTCGATGATTCTATGAGGTAAATATTATCTGTCAAGGAAATGGCAGCACAGAGAGGTCAGGCAACTTGCACAATCTGATAGCTCACGAATGGTGCAGCTGGATTTCAAAACCAGGCAGTGTGGATCCTCCAGAGCCAGTGCTCTTAATCAATGCCCTCCACTGCTGGCTGAGAGTTGGGGTCCAGGGCACAGGTGGAGATTGGCCTGACAGGAAGAGAAACCTGATTAAACCATTGTGTTAGTTTTCTGTTTCCGTATAACAAATTACCACAAACTTAATGGCTTAAAACATTTATCATCTTACAGTTCTAAAGATCATAAATCTGGGCAGGCTCAGTTGGGTTTTCTGCTTAGTGTCCCACAAGACCCAAATCAAGATGTCAGCAGGGTTGGGCTCCTATCTGGAGGCTCTGGGTAAAGATTCTGCATCCAAGGTCGTTGAGGTTTAAGTTCCCTTTGGCTGTAGGACAAAGTTCCCTGTTTCTTTGCTGGTGTGGGTCCTCTAACTAGGATTTGCTGTAGTAATTAGAGTCTGGGCATTCCTCACCTTGTAGCCCCTTGTAGCCCTGTCATCTTTAAGTCAGCAATGGCACAAGGAATGTTTCACAGGCCTAGAATCTGAGTTCCTATATTGCTCCCAGCCAGAGAAAAACTCTGGCTGTTCAGATTTCATTAGGAACATCCAGATAATTTCCCTTTCCTTATGCTTATAAAATAATCTAATCACGAAAAAATTCATCATATTAACAATCCTCGAGATTAGCAGGAAATCTTGGGGCCATTTTAGAATTCTGTCTGCAACAACTATGATGACTGATTGGTAGATATCTTGGTGAAGGGAGGTCTGAGGGCTTGTAATGACTTCCTGAATAGGAGTGGAAAATGCTCCACTCGAGAGGAGATGTATGAGAATGAAGGTTTGAGTAGGTAACTAACAAACTTTTGGTTTGCTAGTCAGCTTTATGGGCTCAGTAGAGTTTGGAGATGATGAATTTGTGGGGATGCCAATCTATATGGCTGTGTGATTTTTCTTTTAAAGATTTTATTTTTTTTTAGAGAGAGCATGTACAAGTGGGGGCAGGGGCAGAGGGAGAGAGAATCCCAAGCAGATTCCACGTCTGAGCATGGAGCCCAACGCGGGGCTTGATCTCATGGCCCTGAGACCATGACCTGAACAGAAACCAAGAGTTGGTTGCTCAACTGACTGAGCCACACAGGTGCCCTGTGATTTTTCTCTAGTGTCTGGTTATAGATGCAGAAGTGGTTTGAGGTTTTTCTGAGAAAGCAGGGCAAAAGAACTACAGGTCAAGGGAGATGACAGGCTTAAGTAATGGGACTCTGGGATCAAGCCAGAAACAAAAGATAGAGAAAACCAGAGTGAGGGAGTAGGGACAGTAGTTACCTTGCAAGGGTTGGAGGAGATGGCCAGATTTCTAGTTAAAGCAGGAAGTGGAAGAAGGCTCCTTTAAGAGGCTAAAGATACAGAGCAGTGGTTCTCCAAGTGTGGTTCTCAGACCAACAATGTTAGCATCGTTTGGGGACTTGTTAGGAAAATTCCCAGGTTCACCACAAACCTACTGAATTAGAAATTCTGGAAGTCTGGGAGCACAGGAATCTCTGTTTTAACAAGCACTGTAGTTGATATTGATGCCACAAAGATTTGAGAATCATTGATGCAGACTTTCATATTGTTTAAGAATACTTTTATCATGAATAAGATTCCAGAAGGACAGTAAGAAATTTCTAGAAGAGTTATGAGAGGAGTCGGAAACACTGAGACCTACAGGAGAGGTCAAATGGCCCATGTTTTGCATGCTGACCTAGGATGCCGAGGATAAATGTAAAGGACACCTGAATTAACTGGCCTTAGAATTTTCAGAAAACACAAACCTCAGCCTGCCGATTCCATTCTGTACCAATGTGTTACTCAGGTACTACTATTCCAAGGCCAAGAGTGGGAGCATTTATTGATGAGCAGGAGATGGGTCCATTCTGGGACTGGATTGGCTGTTCTTTAAAGCGGGGGGGTGGAAATTCAACCCCCAGGGAAAGAGGACAGAAATGGGAGAAGAGTTACTGGGGCCCTGAAAACAGGAATACCCCTGCTGAAGAGGGAGGGACACCTGTGAGGATGATCTATCTCTATATGGTTCAGTCAAGATCAAGACTTACTCTCGCTCAGCTGCAGGCACCACACTGATGGGCTGTGGCACAAAGAGGAGCACAAGTGGGCTGTGTTTAATCAACAGGAAGATGAAGGAAGTGAGGGATGTATTTTGGGACGTGGGTAGCTGACCCCATATAATAATTCCCCTATATTTTTTTAAAGATTTTATTTATTTGACAGAAAGAGACACAGCGAGAGGGAACACAAGCAGGGGGAGTGGGAGAGGGAGAAGCAGGCTTCCCGCGGAGCAGGGAGCCTGATGCGGGGCTCGATCCCAGGACCCTGGGATCATGACCTGAGCCGAAGGCAAATGCTTAATGACTGAGCCACCCAGGCGCCCCTCCCCTATATTCTTAAAAATTTTCTGAGTCAATGACTCTGGGAAAAATCTTGGGACTCAGGCAGTAAAATCCAAGCAAGTGAAATACAGTGTAGCCACACAAAATTTTTCATTGCTTTTATATTAACAAACCATCTCAGGTGATTATAAACACACACCTTTTGCTGCAACAATGCTAAATGTACTTGATATTAAAATAATCTGTTTTATGCTGTTAAAAAAACCCCCAATGTTCGTATCAGTGTTTACAGCATTTGTGTAAAAAAAAAAAAAAAAGCCTATATTTATTGTGATATATAAAATATTTCTGGAAGACCACACAAGAACCTGGTAAAACCGGTAGCCACCGGGGAAGGGACATGGGCAGCTAGGGGAGAAAGGAAGGAGGAAGAATTTCATGATTCAACCCTGTGTACCTTTTAAATTTGGAGCACATGCATGTATTATTCAGAAATAAAAAAGAAATCCATTAAAAAAATAAGGAGCTTTTATTATCCTCGATAACAGAGAAAAGTTGAACCTGAAGTCTCTGGGAATTAAGTAGCGCCCTGGGGAGGGGAAGGCTGCAGCAGCACCTGGAGCTTCCTCAGAGACTCATTCCCTCGGCCGGGCCACCCTGGCAAAGGCAGCTCGAAGGAATCACAAACCGTAGGGGTCAGCGGGAGGACGACACTGAACAAAGCTTCTCTGCCTGAAATCAGCCGCTGTCCAGAGCTAGTGCCTGGGAAGGTACAACTCACCCTCCTGGGATCACATCTTTGCTGGAAGGCAGGTGAGAATTCACACACGTGACACCAAATACCCTGCTCTCTAGGCGGCTCTCTCCTAGTCCTCCCCGATTCCACATCCTCTGGTCTTTGGCCACAGTGTCTGATTTGGGAGAAGAGAATGTTGAACAAGTCAAGTTGTTGTCAGTCCGAGTCTGAACTCTCATTCGACTTGGAAGACTTATGCTTTCGTTTCTTCTTCTTCTTCTTTTCTTTCTTCCTTTTCTTATGCTTTTCTTTCTTCTTCTTTTTCTTGTGTTTCTCTTTACATTCTGAGGAACTGGAGCTGCTTCCATCCTCATCGGAGGTAGAATCCTCCAGTAACTGTTTCAACTGCTGTATCCTAAACAGAAGATTAACCAAAGAACCATATTTAACAAAAAAAAAAGGTAGATAAAAATGACATAAGAGCAGCAGTGAGGGTAAAAAACATCATGAATAACCACCTTACTTAAGATAGTACTTATTTATTTTTTTTTTAAAGATTTTATTTATTTATTTGAGAGAGAGAGAGAGAGCACATGAGAGGGAGGAGGGTCAAAGGGACCAGCAGACTCCCCGCTGAGCAGGGAGCCCGATGCGGGACTCGATCCCGGGACTCCAGGATCGTGACCTGAGCCGAAGGCAATCGCTTAACCAACTGAGCCACCCAGGCGCCCGATAGTACTTATTTTTATTTCTGCATGTTTTCCCTATTCTTGTCCACACCCATGTCTCTTTGGCAGGACTGTACCCAGTGTACAAGCCATTCTGTATTCTTTTCACTGTCCGAAGTATTTCTGCATGTTTCTCCAGTCCTTACTACATAACTTCGAATAGATGCTGCCTCTCCATCACCTCCCCAACCACCCACAACCACTCAAGTTCATACTAGGTAATCTACCTCCTTAACAATTAGAACTCCGTGGAACTAGTTTGAGAAAAAACCTCTGCTTTCTTCATCCTATCTTTATTCATGCCTAAGAATTTTAATAATAGCTCAGATCCTTAAAGATAAACCAAGCAATCATCCATCAGGGTGTGAGCAGGCAGGACCAAGCCCACTGCTAACCCAAGTGTAATGAGACTGGCCTTTCCTGTGATGAGTCCTGCCTTCCAAATAGCTCACAATTGAAGTACCATAGTTACCAGACCACTCATCTAATACTGGAATGGGTGTTTCCAACTTTATATAATTTCAGACTTTAAAAGGGTAGGATTGTTATCACCAGGACCATCTCACCTTACATCCTTTTCATGTCTTTTATTCTCTCGTATGATGTCATACATGGGATCTTCATGTGCCTTGAGAATGAGAAAGGTTAAGGCTGAGTTAGGCACCATGGACTATCAGTTAAAAATTAAATCCATATTTTACTGAAACCAGTTTTTTTTTCCTGTTTGGTGTAATTTTATATTTAACATGTTCTAATCCTTGCTAAGGGTCACCATCACTTCAAACTCACAGAATTTACAAAAAAAAAAGATTTTCCAATTATGCAATTTGAATAGCCTTTTTAAGGATATCAAACATGGCAGAATCATTATTAAATATTACTCAAGGTTAGAAATATTGAGGTAATTCTCTGTGCTCTGTGTGGACAGATGATCAAGACAGATTAAAACAAGCTGGAAAATGGTATGTAAGAATGACTCATGTATAGGTGTATGTATGTGCCCAGAAAGAAGCATGGAAGTGTCTTCATCAAGCTACATAATGCATATTCGCTCTGGAGAGAGGCAGTATTGGACTTAAAAAATCAACTGTGAAAAGCCTTACTGTAACATGTCAATTTTGTTAAAATAAAGCAAATGTATTCTCGAAATATTCGTATAATTTGAAAGTACTTACTAAGAATATGGCTACACATAGACTGGATTTTATGGTATGTGAATTACCTTTAAAAATGTTACATATTTTTAGTAAAAATTTTACATATTAAAGATAAAAAAGTTAAAAATATCTATAGTCTTACCCGCCGGAGATATCTACTGCTAACATCTTAATGTGGTTCTTCCACTCATTATTCATAATTTACAAAATATTATAATCATTATATATATAATTCTGTTCTTTTTTCACTTATGTATTCATGAACATTTTCCCAAACATAATTCTTTTTTTTTTTTTTTTTTAAGATTTTATTTATTTGAGAGAGAGAGAGACAGCGAGAGCAGGAACACAAGCAGGGGGAGTGGGAGAGGGAGAAGCAGGCTTCCCGCCGAGCAGGGAGCCAGACGCGGGGCTTGATATCAGGACCCTGGGATCACGACCCGAGCCAAAGGCAGACGCTCAACGACTGAGCCACCCAGGCGCCCTCCCAAACATAATTCTTAAAAGCTATATGACTTCTGTGTCACAGTCCTTATGCTGGTATGCTGGCCATTGAAGTTGTTTCCTATTTTCTTTAGTCTAATTTTCAGTCACAGATGTAATTCTGAATAATTCCTTATATATTCATAAAAATTTGTATATATTGATTTTTGTTATAGCCTTGGGATCTATTCTTAGAATTTAGGTTTCTGAATTAAAAATACATGAATTTGTTCATTTTTTTGAGAGTTATCACCAATTTATCTGTAGATTAGATACTGTAAAATTGCCATTCCAGGTAGCATTGATTTATCCAGAATATTTTCTCCACTTTTTTTTTTAAAGATTTTATTTATTTTGACAGAGAGAGAGAGAGACAGCGAGAGAGGGAACACAAGCAGGGGGAGTGGGAGAGGGAGAAGCAGGCTTCCCGCGGAGCAGGGAGCCCGATGTGGGACTCCATCCCAGGACCCTGGGATCATGACCTGAGCCGAAGGCAGACGCTTAATGACTGAGCCACCCAGACACCCCAATTCTCTCCAAATTTTTAAAAATGTCTTAAAGTCCTGGCAAATGTTTGTGGACCCCAGTTTGATATATGGTGATAGTGCCAATCTCTCTGATAACAGCATAGTTAAGCTGACTGAAACAGTGACTGAATGGTGAGTTAACAACCCTGGGAGGTGACTGTGAAAATAAAGTGGGGAAATGACATCTATCTTACTGGTTAAGCAAAGAGGATATATCATTTATACATACATATCTAGTTTATAATAGATATTTAATCTTTACATAAAGACTGGGAACTAGAACGCGGATTTTAGTTATGAAACAAGATTTTTTAAAATATAAGTAAAAAGTGGTTGAATATATAACAATGTCTTTCAGAAAAAGAAATCAGTGTTCCAAGGCATAAGCAAATAACACTTTAATAAAAGTTAATTTTCTACTAATGAGCTAATCTGTCACACAAATTCAGTTTAACAGAGTTAATACCAGATACTTTGGCCAAAAGGCCCTGGGAATGTATTTCATGTTAACCTCCATTTCACTGGTCAGTGCCTGAGTCACTGACATTCACCACCTCTGGCAAATGTAAATTGAAACTCTGGGTTTTACTTACTACTCTGAACTGTTCTAACTTTTGGTTGCCTTTGATAAAGAAAGGGCATTCTTTGTCGCCTGTTCGGTGACCATACCGTTTACAACGCCAACCTAAAAACAAAGAAAAGGGATATATTTCTGTAAGATGATGTAGTTTTATTTAATCAAGATAAAGTATCAGTAGATCATACTAAAGATATTCTTCATTAGATTTCAATTTCCAAAGCAAATGCAATTAGTGGATGAACCATGTAAGACACTAGAAAACAGAAATCAATCGCTTCCTCAAGCATCCTTTAATCTTGGGTTTTCGAAATAAGCCAAGTAGTTACTAAGTAATCCTGTGCAAAAATCAAAGTGTGATTTTTTTAAAATAGTGTGTTATGGCTTGAACAGTGTTGCCCCCTCTACCCTGTCTCGTCCCAGTGTTGCTCCTAACCCTTTGTACCTCAGGATGTGACCTCATTGCGAGAAAGGATCTTTGGAGAGGCCTGGGACAGATTCTTCCCTCACAGTCCTCAGAAGAAGCCAACCCTGCTCACACCCTCATTTCAGACTGATAGCCTCCAGAACTGTGAGACAATATATTTCTGTTCTTTAAGTGACCTGAAAGCCTCTTCACAAATGAAAAAGGTGAAAAAATAAATAGAAAACAATTTGGAAGCAATAAAAAAACATTAGGGAGAAGAAAAAATTAGCATTCTTAGAGAACATTTTGTAACAATTAAAGAATTAAAAAATCATGAAAAAAGCTTTTGGAATTGAAATAAAAAACTTAATCGAAGGATTGGAAGCTATGTTGATGAACTATATTAGAGAGCAGAAAACAAGAACAGGAGAGAAAAGCTCAGAAATTAGAAAATCAATCTAAGAAGTCCTTCATCTGAATAACAGAATTGCAAACACTGAGAGGAGGAAATAATCAATGAAACAATTTGTGAAATTTCAGAACACTGGGAATAAGATGATCTCATAAGGTTCTAGGAAGGAAGAATAAAAAAAGACAGCAACAACAAAGCAGGTTACATCAAAGCATCCACAATTTTAATTGCTTTGGACTTGTCAACAGCAGTTCTACAGATGAAAAGGCAATGGAGCAGTGCCTTCAAAATTCTGAAGGAAGTTTGTTTTTAACAAAATTCTAACTAAATAGCAAACTAAAAATATAAAATACAGATGTTTCCAGAAGAATACAGTCTTGAAAATGTTATCTCCCATAAACCCACTTCTCAGCTACTGGAGAATGTGCTCTACCACAGCAAGAGAATGTAACAAAAAAGATGCAAGATATGGCAAATAGGAGATCAAACACAAGAGGGATATTAAGGGAAACCAAAGAGTGAATAGTGAAGGAAGGTCCCTGGGTGATAGCAGGGGGAACAACTGTCTTTAGGAGGAAAAAAAATGAATAGAATACCTAAGCATCTGAAGGAGCTGAATTAGAAATCAGTACACAGAAAAAAGCAAAAACAAGAACAACAAAAAGACAACTATTAATTGCAGGGCAAACAAAACATTATGCAGGATGTATGAAAGGAAATGCAATTGGTTTAGTATATGATTCAATTCTGAAAATAATCATAATTAAATATACACAAAAGATTTATTTAACTAAATTATGATATAATGTATTGAGAAAATGGGAGTTAGAGTATGTATGAGGTGTGGTTGAGGCACAAAAAAAGAGCTGAAACTCTTCTACAGTAAAAAGTCAACAGACAATGAAGAAACCTGAAAAATCAAAGGCAGGAATATAACCCTGTTATTTAGATACATGGAGATAAACTTCAAAAAAATTTTTTTTTTAATTTTATTTAAGTAATCTCTACATCCCATGTCGGGCTCCACCTCATGACCCCCAGATCAAGAGTTGCATGCTCCTCCGACTGAGCCAGCCAGATGCCCCCAAAATAATCTTCTTGAGAGGTTTACATGGTTACCTTTAGGGTGAGGCGAATGGGGGAAAGGGACTAGGAACTGCTATTTTAATTACCTGCATGAAAAATCTTTGTACAAATGTCTTTAAAAGGCAGCAGTACCCTTTCTTCAAATACCAAGTACCAATTAAGCTGGATGAAGGTGTTGTGGCCGGGGTGGGGTGGGGGCGTGCATGCAGCTGGACCCACAGCTCCTCCCAGGTTACATGGATGAAACCTTACCACCACTGATGGGGGGTGAATGATGCAGGACCCAAAGGGACCTGCCCTCCAATGCATTCCTTGTCCCTCATGGCATTTCTACAACGGAATATCCTTTTTGTTACTGAAATATTACCGAAGAGTGAACTCCAAAGGCAGCTATGGTCTCTGTGGATGACTCCTGCCTTTGGAGTCAGAAGCCCTGGAGTCAAAGCTCCTCTCTGCCTCTTACCTCCGACCACTCACTAACATATGCGGGTCAGCTTCCTTAACTATGAAACAGAGATTGTGCCTTGACTTAACAGGGCTGCGGTGAGAACAAATTAAAAAAAAAGGAAGTAAACGCGCTTTGTAAATCGTGGTATATAACTTGCGTGTATGGAGGAGCGTTACTTGCGACTCTCCCGTGCTCACACTGCATAACTTTGACTTCTTTCCCCAGTGGCATCCAGAGTCCTTTCGTTGGTGCGTGAGCCAGAAATTCCCTGGCATGTTCGTTGCCTGGTACATCTGGTATACAGTCTTCTGGCTTAGTCTCATCTTCCTAAAAAAGGAAACAACATGTCCACAACGTGGCAAAAAAAAGCAGGGGCATTCTCTCCCACCTGCTTCAGGACACAGCCCTGCCTGCCCTTCTCATGGGCTGGACACGCCATGTCCTCCTAAGTTACCCTCTCAAGTACTAGAAAGACAGACAAATTATACCTGACAGAAAAGCCAGAAATAAATGTACCAGAAGAACTGTATCATGAAAATGTCATAGCTACTCTTAGGGAAATATTACTCAGGAATGATTTGTGAGTTCCAAATCCCGATTCTAGATCACAAAAATGAGATTCAGATCACAAACTTTCCTGCTACCTTAAAAGCCTTGTGGAATGAAGCAAAGTACAGAATTAAACAAGATTTCCTGAAATAATAAAAATAACATGTTAAATTAAAAAAGATTACTATCCCTCGGAGACCACTGTCATGTTTTACAATCTTGCACCTGCTGTATTTATGAAGTGTGCTTTCACCACCAAATAACTTCATTACATATTTAAGGTATTATTATTATTTTTTTTACCGTCTGATTGTTTTCAGTTCCCAGGAATGAAAGGTTTGTAATCTTTTCTTTTCATTGAATGTGAGCAAGCAGAAAGCTGTCCTGGCCTCCACTGAGCCCTTTAAGTCTCCCTCCCAGAGATACTGGACTCTAGGGCCAGGTGCCGCCGCAGAGCGGGGGTGGGGGGTTGAGGGGCAGGGGTGGTGAGGGGGGTGTCCTGCACCAGGGGCTGGACAGAGGACCTTCCAGTCTCCTCAGAGACTACTGTTCTCTGAGCTGATGATACTCGGGAAACCAGCACCAAGTCAGAGAAAGGGCACAGCTGTGAAAAGATGCAGCCACAGCAAGAGAGAGAGGGCGGGAGAAGGGGACTGATCGCTGATGAACATGTGGGGCTGCCACCGTTTCTTAGGGAACAGACACACGGCTGATTACATTTCTACAAAGGCACAGGCTGGACACAGAAAGCCCAAAGTGTATGAACTGACTGGCATCTGCAGGGAGAAGCAGGGTTACCATAAAAGGGCGTCCAAAACCTTATGCAACAGGTTTTTATAACAAGTAACTGAGTCTGAGCACTGAGTCAAATATGTCTAAGAGAATGACCAAAGGCACAAACTTCACACTGACCTTGATAAGCCCAGGAGGAGGTTTTTCATAACTAGAAAGGAAAAGAAAAAACATCATCCATCATGTTAACAGGAACGTAACACATTTTAGTGAGTACTGCAGACCAAAATAAAAAGGATATTTTTAGTAAAACCTCAAAACTACATTATGTCTAAAGCAGTTAATAAAATATGCCCAGCCGTCAGAGATCCCATATAAATAAACTGATGCTACACCACATCCTGTGGAGATCTAGAGCTGAAATTCACTGAGGTAATAATTAACTTTGTGTCTAAGCACAAGGATTTTATTGTTGAAGAAGAGAAAGCCAGAGGGGCAGTGGGGGGTTCAGTGGGTTAAGTGTCTGACTCTTGATTTTGACTCAGGTCATGATCTCAGGGTCCTGGGATTGAGTCCCATGTGGGGCTCTGTACTCAGCAGGGATTCTGCTTATTCTTATCCAACTGGATATTTTTCTCCTAAAAAAAGAAAGAACAGGTACAATAAGGGAAACTAAACTTAATTCTCAGGAAATACTGAAGGTTCACCTTGAGAACTTACTCGTTACACAAGTATCCAGACAACAATTATGCCAGGTATAGTGCTAAGTGTCAGAAGAGAGAACTAAGGGCATAGAAAACTAATCTGTTATATGGGCCCCTTAATCCTCCCTCAAAAGATGAGGTAATCTACATGATAAGACTCCCTACTCTTCCTAAGGGAAAGTGACCTGGCCTGGAACAATCCTTCTTTTCTTTTGCTAATAACTTCATTCACCACCCTCCTTATAGAAATCTTCCATTTTGTGCAACTCTTTAGAGCATCTCTCTACTTGCTAGATGGGATGCTGCTGGATTCATGAATCAATTAATAAAGCCAATCAGATCTTCAAATCTACTAGGCTGAATTTTTGTTCTTTAACACAGGTATAAAAAATTTGGTTTGACTTCTGATTCATTCTCACTGCTGTGTACTTTGGACAAGTTATTTAACCCTTCCGAGCCTCAATTTCCTCATTGGTTAATATGTCACAGCAAACATCTCTTCCATCTCTGGAAAAGGCACTTCACAATGCTGGCTTCTGCTCCTTCTGTTGAAAGCAAGTCATTGCTCTCAGCAGCTTCATGAGGCCGCTCAGGACTGGAGCACTAGCATCACAAAGGCCAAGATGTGGACCAGCAAAAGTGCCTGGCTATCCCAAGCCAGTCTTCACATCTTTTGATAGATCTTCACCTTTACTGGGATTTGCTGGCTGCTCCTAAGTGGAGGTGGGCAGAGACCCGGCAGTGGACTTCCCACAGACACCATCCCCAGCTGGGCTTACTGCCTTTCTAGGCCATGGGACTCAGAGACTCCTTTTCCATATCTGGCTGCGGGAATCACTGCCTTTTCCCCTCCATGTACATGGTACATCAGCATTCAGCCAAGTCTATCCCCATTCTCTTGTGCGGCTCATAAAATATGCCTTTATTATAGATATTAAATTATCATGTTACTATCTCAGAATAAGGTAGGGCACGCCAGGGACTCTGACATCTTTTTTCTCCAACATCAGTTCCAACATTTTTCCTCACTGATTCCAATAACTGGAAGCTATACCAATTAAGAGGCTGAATTGGGACAATTACCCAGATCTCGTGACATCTAGAGTTCTTTCATTGAGCTGCAACCACTGTTCTAAGTCAGCAATGCATTTCTTGTATTAATAACTAGTCATGGGTTAAATAAATTGTGCAAGGGCGCACAGCCAGAGCCCAAGTGCTCACTTGTACATGACTGTTAGTACATGTCTAGCTGAATCCAGTAATTATTCTAGCACTATGTTTGTCACTAGAAAACAGAAGACTCCAGGAACACTTTAAATTCAGAGCTTGAGTACAATTTGATTTGGGTACAAATACTGTTCTAAATCCAGTTTTCTCTAAAATTTCCCCCCCACATTGCTCAATTACCCACTTATTTATTGCAATAAAATTTATATACCATACTTCCCTCTGTTTTGACAATGCCCTCCTCAACCTAAAGCAAAATACTATGAGGCTAGAGGGAGGTAGTAACAAGGACAATGACCTCATGCCCTCTCTGAGGCAGGGATTGGATTGAGTGTGTGCAGATATTAAATGCATACACATTTGGTTGTTGATGCTGGGAACATTCATGTGGTGGCAGATAATTCTAAGGAGTCTGTGAGGGGAATGTAAGCTAGGAGTCAACATCTGAGCCACGCCCTGACATTCACCAAGTTAATGGGAAACAGAGCTACAGGGTTTTTAATCACGAATTTTAGCAAGGATAAACCTCCATCATCTGGTTTGCAGACCAGGAATCACTTTGTTAAAGCAGAAAACGTCTCCTGTCTGTGCTCAGCAGCACCCAGGCACCAGACTGGCCAGGCCCTCCTTATTTCTAGCCAGGGACTGAACTGAGAGAGACCCAAAAGCCTGAGAGACAGGAAGCAAATTCTGAGGCTGGGTGTCTGTGTACTTAAGAGTGTCTCAAACTCTTAAAGGGATTTGTCCTCCTCTTCTATAAGGAGAAATACATTAGCTCAGATCTGTGCCTTAACCTTGTAAACGTCCAGGGAAGGACTCATTTTAATACTTCAGAACGGCTGCAAAGTATAGAAACACTTAATGATTTAATGTTTTCTTTATCCTGACTCTTCTTATGCTTTAAAGACCCTTCAGAACAGATTAAGTATTGGAGGTTACAGGGTTAGAGAAAATTGACCAAGGGAAAAGTGGAATGCCTTTCCTTTGGCCCTTCTCTTAAGATGTGAAAGAAAACAACTTTAGTGGATGTGATATTGCAACTTATAGTAAGAAATATGTATTTGGTCTTCACTGTTCTGACACTCAGGTCTTAAAACCTTGTAATTTCCTATACAAAGGCCATAGGAGCATCTTTTCTTATAATATTTAGTTTTGTCACAGTTCCTGAAGTAAGTCCAGAGCTATGAAGGTGAAATTTTGTTATTCATAACAAGCCCCTTTCAACCAAACTGTTTATGTTAATGAAATCACTTTTGCAAAGCTCCTAAAGATGAGGACTGGTTGCCAGGGGAACCACTTCTGTGATTAGAGGGTTGGAACTTTCAGCCGTACCTCCAGGGAGATTGAATTAATCACCAATGGCCACTGATTAATCAATCATGCCTATGTAATGAAGCCTCTATAAAACAACAACAACATACCCCAGGGTGCCTGGGTGGCTCAGTAGGTTAAGCGTCTGCCTTCGCCTGGGGTCATGATCCCAAGGTCCTGGGATCCAGCCCTAGGTAGGGCTCCCTGCTCAGCAGGGAGCCTGCTTCTCCTCCTCCCTGCTCCTGCTCTCTCTCTCTCTCACTCTCTTTCTCTCAAATAAATAAAATCTTAAAAAAAAAACCAACAAAAAACTGGGGCGCCTGGGTGGCTCATTCGGTTAAGTGACTTCCTTTGGCTCCGGTCATGATCCCAAGCTCCTGGGATCGAGTCCCACATCAGGCTCCTTGCTCAGTGGGGAGCACGCTTCTCCCTCCTCTGCTCCCCCTGCTTGTGCTCTCTCTCTCTCTCTCTCGATCTGTCAAGTAAGTAAAATCTTAAAAAAAACCCACAAAAAACAAAAACCCAAAAATGGATTTCAGAGACCTTCAAGGTTGAACACATGGAGGTGTGGTGTATCTGGAGAGGACATGGAAGCTCCATGCCCTTTCCCACACATCTTAACTCTATGTATCTGTTCCATCTGGCTGTTCCTGAGCTATAACCTTTTATAATAAATCAATAATCAAGTAAATAAAATGGTTTCCTGAGTTCTATGAGCTGCTCTAGCAAATTAACCAAACCAGAGGAGGGTGGTGCTAGGGAAACCTCTGCTGTACAGACAATAGGTTGGTAGCAACCTGGCCTTGGGACGCATCTAAAGCATGTGGAGAGGGGCAGTCCTGTGAGACTGAGCCCTTAACCTGTGGATTCTGATGCTGACTCCAGGTGGACAATGTCAGAATTAGATCTGTTAGACATGTACTTGGTGTCCTCTGAGAATAGGAGAATTTCTTGGTGGTGTTGGAAAAGTCCCACACAGTTAGAGTAGTGCTCTGAGTGTAGTATGAGTGTAGAAAAGAAAAACAGGAGTGTTTTTTCCTTTCTAGCAGAGGAAGGATGAGAAATGCCATGAATCGTTACAGAAAAGAAAACTTCCCTTTAGCTTCATCTCTGGATGCTTCCAAATAAGGATGGTGATGGAGGCTTCTCCACTCTCATCCTCGCCATCATTAATCCAGAGTTTTTCTAAAGGGACAGAGGAGGACTTAGTCCCTGAAGTTGTTTTGGGTATAAACAGAATTAACTTTTTAGATATGATATTTCCAGAGCAAATACTTCCACTATTTTCAGGTAGAAAGCCGTGGCATGCCAAATGCCTAGGCCTCTCTTAGCAAGAATAATGGAAATTTGCCTATATTATGAAGGTGATACAGTCCACCAGCAGCCATTCATTAGAAACATTAATGCTATCCTTTATGGATTGGGACTTAAGGGAGCTTGGAAGGGAGGAGGTAACATCTTCATAAATACCCAATAATCCAACAATACTTTCTTTTGCCACAGGAGGAGTACAAATAATATATGGCCAAACTAAAATCCACTTCCTGAAAAATATGTAAAAACTTTTGCCTAAGTGGAAAAGGAGTGTGATGAGAACTGACCACACATTTTTTTTTTTTTTTAAGATTTTATTTATTTATTTGACAGAGATAGAGAGCACAAGTAGGCAGAGTGGCAGGCAGAGGGAGAGGGAGAAGCAGGCTCTCCGCTGAGCAGGGAGCGGACGTGGGGCTCGATCCCAGGACCCCGGGATCATGACCTGAGCCGACGGCAGCTGCTTAACCGACTGAGCCAGCCAGGTGCCCCCTGACTACACATTTTGAAATCTGTTATTAATAGCAATGGACTGGGGCACCTGGGTGGCTCAGTCGTTAAGCGTCTGCCTTGGCTCAGGTCATGATCCCAGGGTCCTGGTATTGAGCCCCACATCGGGCTCCCTGCTCAGCAGGAAGCCTGCTTCTCCCTCTGCCACTCCCACTGCTTGTGTTCCTGCTCTCGCTACCTCTCTGTCAAATAAATAAATAAAATCTTAAAAAAAAAATAGCAATGGACTTTCCTAAAAAGTCCATTTTACAACTGTTTCTCCAAATTTAAAGGAACATGGTTGGTGTTTTTTCCGAGGGCTTGACAATTCTTTAGTTTATGTAACATGTTAAAAAAGATATTTCTCAAAGTCTAAAGTAATAGTTAACTATTAAAATTATTTAACTATTAAATATAACATATCTGAGCGGTGCCTGGCTGGCTCAAGAGGTAGAGCATGTGACTCTTGATCTCAGGGTTGTGAGTTCAAGACCCACGCTGGGTGTAGAGATTACTTAAACAAACAAACAAAACCCAACCAGACCTAGAATGGGAGTGTGTTTATTGTGTAGTTGGTTTCTGCGCTGTGACAGTTGAGAAGTGTGCACTTTTTGTAGTTAATCCTTAGAATTAAAAAAAAAAAAAAAAAAGTTGGTGGAGGCCCATTACTTTGTACCATCTGTGAAGCCTTGCTATTATATCATTCACATTGTAATAAGTTTCTCTGAGCAGTATGAAGACTAAATTTAGATAATAGAGGAAAAACTTATCTTCCCAAATGGGCATGGGGAAAGAAATCTTTATTTTCCCAAGTGCTTAAAAATACTCTTGTATTTCTGAGTGCTGGCATAGGATTTCTTTTGGAAGAGTCCTTCGTGTAAGCATAGTCAATTCCAGTTGTTCCCACAGCTTGCTCCTATGGGGTGGAAGGCAGAGATGAAAATGCCACATATATACAGAATCTCCATTCTGTTATGTCCAGCAGACAAGGGACACTTGAATAGGGTTGGAGCTTGGTTAGAGCACAGGGTGAAAGATTCAGATGCCTCTGGGGTCCTGGCAGGTATGGTCAAAAGGTAAGAAAAGGTAAGGTCAAGTGTAAGAAACTGACCAGAGGAGTGTGAGGGGACCTAATGAGGGCAACCAGGGGGTAAAAGAATTTGAATTCAATCTGTGAAAACCCACTATGGGGCTTCCCATTTTACATGGCTGGCTGGACAACTTAGTTATTTGCCTTCCTTTTCATTGCAGTCTGATATCCCTACAGTGAGACTTACCAGTCAATAAACCAGCAACTTTGCATTCTCTGTCTCCCAACTGCTCCCTTCAAAATAGCTTTATAATGCCTCCCTCTTAATGGGGAAGATCCAAGGATCCCTGCATATTAGGAAAAAACCTCTAAGTGAAAGAAATCTCAAGAAAAGTCAAAGAAGAAATAGACAACAAAGAAGAAAGCAAATGAAAAAAAAAATGAGTATCCTCAAAGATGACAGATTTGTTATTGAGGAAACAATAGGATATTATGAGAAAAAGAATTCTCAGGCCAAGAAGCTCTTCAAAGTTAAAAATTAAAACTTAAAAGTGCAATGGTGGGAAGATTGGAAGATAAATCTTTTAGAAAGTAGAATGAAAAGAGGATCACAGAAGTCTAAGAGTACGAAAAAACAAAATGGAGGGAAGGAAATTAAAACACAGATCATATATGAATATTAAATACCCACGAAGTATTGAGAAAATTAAAAAAAATATGAAATCTGGTGAGAAAAAGTTCACATCATGAAATTGCAAGGGGCAGCTGGGTGGCTCAGTTGGTTAAGCAACTGACTCTTGATTTCAGGGGGAGCAGCAAGTAGAGGGGAAAGCAGGCTCCCAGCCAAGCAAGGAGCCCAGTATGGGACTTGATCCCAGGACTCCAGGATCATGACCTGAGCCGAAGGCAGACACTTAACCAACTGAGCCACCCAGGGACCCCACCCCAATGCACTTTTTATAGGAAGTTACATAATATACTTAAACAAAATGAGATAAAGAGAGAAAGAGAAGACACAGGGTCCAGAAATGGGATCCAGGACAGGAGAGTGACGAAGGCAGTTGTACACCAGGTCTAGAAAGTAACCAGAATGTACTGGAGGAGAACAGAAGGAAGATTTTTGGTTTTAAAAACAAACAAATTGATAAGACTGTCTGATATGTAGGAACAAGTAGAAAAAGTACTCTCAGCCTTTAGAGTCTTTCAGATAAAATTAGTAGCAGGTAATAGTAAATTCAAGCAAATGAAAAAAATTGAGGTGCTTATTAACTAGATGAAAAACAACAATTGTGCTAGAAAGCAAAACAATCACAGAACACCCTTTGGCTCAAAAGTGAACAATACTGAATAGTTATAATAATGCTAATACCAACTATTGATTTAACAAAAATTATCATGGAGCTATATTGGAAGGATGGATGCAAGAAGGGTAGGGAAAGAGAACTAAACCCTCATGTATGTGACATACATATAGGTAATGTCTATTGTTCAATCTAAAAAAGCAGCATAAGCATATAATTGGGAATAAGTAGTTAAATCCCAGAAGAAAAAACGGTTTCCTTATTGTAAACTTGGTTGGAGGGAGGGTTGCAGGGAGTGTGTGGGTGACTATAGAACAGGGATGTGAACCACTATTTTTTGAAATTAGTCTCTTGGTACTATTTGATGTTTAAAGTATTACTCTAAAAATAAAAATTCTGATTTAAAAGCAAACAAGTCCCTGAATTAGCCAAACCAAATATGTCAGCAGCCCAGAAAGTTTAAATCCCTGAAGTGGAAAAATCCAACTGGTTTGGGAATCAGACCTGGGTTCCTCTTTAGTTTTGCTAGTTTACAGGTCAATGTATCCTTGATCAGGTTACTTAACTGCTGAACCTGCATTTCCTCATCTGCAAAAAGAGGTTATAATCTCTCTGATGTCTATGAGTGCTTTGTGAGCTACAAATAAATGTATAGTGTTAACCACTACCTGGTATCCCACAGTTAAAGATACTGAGGGTCAGACTGGGCTCTGCGAAGCTCAGGCTTATCTAGAGAAAGATATTTGAACATCTGCATTGCACAGGACAGGGCCACAGAGGGCTCAAAGGGGCCAGGACTCTGGGTGCTAGCAATGCAGCACCTGTATCCTGAAACGACTGCCTTACTGAGTTGAAATTCAGCTCAAGGGTCACACTGAAAAGAGCAGGCCAGCCTCCAACAGTGCAATGCATTTTGTGTCAAAGCTCCCAGGTTAATTATAAAGAATCTGAATCCTTCCAGGACGTTTCCTTACATCATCATCTTAGCTTAGGTAATGCAAGTGCCTGAAATAGAAACGAAGTATGTACGGAAGAACTCCGTGAGCACCAAACTTACAAGTTTGCCTTCTAAAGCTAATTACAGAAAGACAGAATCACAGAAAAGAACTGGAAGGTCATGAATCCACCTCCCACTGATGTTGCAACCTCCTTTACAACCTGCCCTCCTCCCGCGGGTTCTGGGCTCTCCCCGAACCCGCTGGAGCTGGGGGCACACGGGGCCCCTTTAAGTCAGGCCATGCTGACCAGCAACCACAGGAGACTCTGGTCCTAATTCTTTTTGTTGAGCTGGAATTGGCCTCTTCGTAGCCCCCACCGTTCATGCTGGTACAACCACCACCACCACCACCACCAACCCTCAGGAGTAAAGAGAACAAGTCTCCACTCTCTTCCACCTTTGGGATCTCTAGGGACAAGTCCCTCACCCCATTCTCCAGCCCTCCCCTCCCCAGCGCACTAAGGGTAGGGGAGGGCGTGTTCTCTTCCCTTCCTAGCAGCGGATGAAGAGAATGGGGGTTTTATCCGGCTCCCGGGGGGCCCTGTCAACCGCCAACCCTGAAAGGGCAGGACGGCGGCGCTCACTGCCCCTGCCGCGTGTCAGTCCCCAAATCCCCACCGAGCGCCTACTCAGTGCCGCACGGTCCTCAGCGCCAAGCAGAGCCCCGGCCGCACGCCGACCTCGGGCGGGGGGAATAAAGCCCGAGCTTCCCTGCCGGCCCAGGCCGCTCGGCGCGCCGGGGCAACGGCCCTTCCCTCCCCGGGGAGGCGCGACTGGAAGTCCGGGTGCCGGGGCCGCACGGGTCCCCGGGGACCCAGCCTCCCGCGCCCCCGCGGCGCCGGCCCACCCGGACCCCGCGCCTGGCGGAGGAGCGCGAGCGGCGCGGACTCACAAGGACTCCAGGTGCTTGAGCTGCTGCAGCTGCTGCGCGTCGTGCCGCCGCCGCTTCTGCTCCCGGCGCCGCTGCAGCTCCTGCTCGGCCGGCTCCCGCGGCCGCCGCACGCCCCCGGCCCCCGCGTCGTCGCGCCGCGGCCGGGAAGACATCGCGGCCCGCGCGGCTGAGGCGGCCCCCGCGGCGTGCCTGAGGCGGCTGAGGCGTTGGGAAGACGGCACTTCCTCCGCGCCGCGGCCGGCCGGCCCCGCAGCGCCCCCTCCCGCCGCCCGCCCGGGCCCGGCCCGCTGTCCCCGCCGAGGCCTCCCGGTCCCCGCCTCCCGCCAGGCCTCCCCGCCGCCTCCCGCGTCGTGGCCCCAAGTCCGCGCTCAGAGCGCCGTGGCCCCGCCGCCAGGCCGGCCGGGGTCGGAGCGCGCCCCCTGGCGGCGGCCGCGAGCGCGGCGGGCTGGGGGTGGGGGAGGCCTGCGGGGCAGCCGGGGAGCCCCGCCCCCCGCGCGCGCCCCTCCCCTGGGAGGCCTGGGGACCCGTGCGCGGCGGCTTTGTGGCCCCCCTGGCTAGACGCGGGCTGCTGCTCCTTGGGGCTGGGATTCACCCAGCTTTGAAGAAAGCAAGACACCCCAGAGAAATTCTCTTTTTCCAGAACGTCGTTAAAACGTAGTCAGCCTGCAGTGTATCTAGACAAGGTTTGGGTGCTAGACTGAAAGCCATAGACACTGAGCGCTTTTCATGTGCTCGTTATTGAGCTAAGCCCGCAAGAAAAATTGATTTAATCTTTAAAAACTTACTAAGTGCTGTTATTACCCGTATGTATTACCCTTATTTTATACATAAGAAGGAGGCGGAGAGAGTTCAATAACATGCCCGAGGATGCAGAAGTAGAAGTCGTGGAGCCAGGCCGCCGCGAAGTGTTAAAGTGCTTAACTAGGTTGCATTTTGTAACTGTATCTGATATGTGAAGTTATGATCACTGTTTCAGCTTTAACATAATGGAAGAAAGCACAAACGAAGTAAAAGTAACTATTCCCCTCAAATGTGGCATTCAATATGGTTAATACTTAAAATGAGGAGCTCCTTCATATTTATTAGAGAAAATCCAAATGAAGGAATGCACAAGGTCTATGAACAGAAACACAGTTATTACACTGGTATGTCCCAGAGCTTGGAAATCAGGTTCTCCCCCTGGAGGGAGAACTGGTGCATAAACCAATCTAGCAGTTGATGCAAGTTACCTGAACCAGTAAGTGCCCCATAAATACCCTGGCTGTGAGGTGTTCAAGTCTGGTTTTCTGGGTCTCCCAGAGGTTTGATGAACTACCTGATTTCCTTGAAACTAGTTTTTGTTTAACCAGCTAGAATGGATTCTGTTATCTGTGACTAAAGAACTCTGTCAGAAACAATGTTTGATTGCAAAGTTAGTTTTTTTTTTAAGATTATTTATTTATTTATTTGAAAGCAAGAGAGACAACATGAGCAGGGGGGTGGGGGTGGGTGTAAGACCAGAGGGAGGGGGAGAGGCAGAAGCAGACTCCCCACTAATGCAGAGCTCCATCCCAGGACCCTGGGATCATGACCCGAGCCAAAATCAAGTTGGATGCCTAATCAACTGAGCCACCCATGTGCCCCTCAAAGTTAGTGTTTAAAATCAACCTGGGGGGTGCCTGGGTGGCTCAGTCGTTAAGCGTCTGCCTTCAGCAGGGTCCTGGGATCGAGCCCCACATCGGGCTCTCTGCTTAGCGGGAAGCCTGCTTCTCCCTCTCCCACTCCTCCTGCTTGTGTTCCCTCTCTTGCTGTCTCTCCCTCTGTCAAATAAATAAATAAAATCTTAAAAAAAAAAAATCAACCTGGATGTCCTGATACTAAAGGAATATAATGGTAGTATAATTCATTATTTAGAAACATAAGGTTTCCTTCTTACACTTTAGAACAACCTCTTACAGTTCTCACACATGAGAGGTGAGGATACTCAATAGCTCAGTTTATGAATGGTGAAGTCCTTGGTCCCAGCTTGTGTGCAAGTCTCCACTCCTGGTGCAATTCCACATATTTGAGCACGTCTAGTCCATGTTTGAGGTGAGCGTTCCTGGATCCTGATAGTTTCAGGGCCCATGTAGTCTCCTGAGCAAGAACCCACCCACTAATGGTCATAGGCATCAGGCACCCAAGCTTGGCCAGCAGAAAAGCCACCCCAGGAGAGAAGGAACAACGCCAGTCATTTGGTTGGTGTAAGCCACTCAGATTTATCTCTGGTATGCACCATGGAGTTGTCTGAACTCTTGGGAGAGCCAGAAGATGTAAGGTTATAAAGGTGAAGGAAAGATTTAAAAAAAATTTCAAAAACATTCATTTATTCATTCATCAAACACTGAATTAGACCTGCTATGTGAATATGTTTTGAGTGCAGGGGAGAAACCAGTCTCTACCTTTGTGGAGCTTATATAAGAAAAATGTTGAACTGACTATTACCCATATATTAGAACTTCAGTTATGATCAGTTCTATGAAGATATATGGGGGTACTTATTCTAGTGGTGGTCCAGGAAGCCTTCCCAGGGGGAAGGGAAATACAAGCAGAGGCTTAAAGGATGAGTAGGAGCTGGTGGAGCAAAGGAAAGTATCTCAAGAGGCAGAGCAGCCTGTGGAAAAGGGGCTTCATGTACAGAAGAAATGAGAGAGAAGGTCACTGTGGGGCTGGAGCCTGGGGAGAAAGGAGAAGAGCCACGAAATGAGGCTGGAGAGGCAGACCGGACAAGATTGTCCAGGATCTTGTAGACCTTGTGAAGGACCTGGATCTCAAAGTAAGTGTGGTAGGAAGGTAATGAAGAAAATAAAGTTGGAAGAAGTCATTATCATATTTGAATTTTAAACATTTCTCTAGCTACCATATGGTTCCACACTATGTGATGCTACACATATTCTGCAGCTGTTAATGTGCCAAATCTGCCTTTATGACATTTCATTCATTCTAGAAATATTTATTTGGACTGGTAAATGCTACGTTCACGTTGTTCAAATTTTGGGTCAAGAGTCATTAGAGGACTGTGAAATCAACTGAGGGAATTGTGAAATCAACAGCAACATTGTAAACTATGAAATAAAAAAGGAAAGAACAGAAAGTGGAAATATCAGAGGGCATCATACGCAAATAAGTTAGGTATTATCTTTCCAAATTAATTTTGTCCTATGAGTTAAAGCAAAAAATAATTGACAGCTGTGTTCTGAATGTTAAATGATCCAACATGCTTCATATAGTGCCTGGCACATATATTTATTGTGTGCCTGGCTCAATAAATAATTGGCCTTGATGATGGGTATAGTCCTTTGTGTGTCTAATATGCATGAGGTTTAAAAGAAATAACATTTTTTGGGTGGGCAGTTCTGCTTTGGTGTGGCTAGATGGATCTCTGCAGTTAGCTGGTGGCTCTGCTGGGTTTGGCTGGTCTAGAATGACCTCACTCATGTGTCTAGAGGGGCAGTGGAGATGACCTGACAACATGTTTCTCATCATTCAGCAAGCTTCTACAGGTCATTCACATAGAAGTGGTTGCAGTATTTTCAAGAGAAGCACGAGAGGGAGAAGCACTTTTTGAAGCTTTGCTTGCATCATATTTACTAATGTTTCATTGACCAAGCAGGTCAAATTCAGATTTAAGGGTAGAGCTGCAAAATCACATTGTAAAGAAATGGGCACACAAAAATGGAAAAAAAAAACTACAGCTATTTTTGTAAATGATCACACTCATTAAGAGGAATATGGCACCAGCTGTTGAAAATAAACTTTTCATGCCAGAAATTATAAATTACCTTAGGTTTCCCAGCAAATACTATTCTTCGCACTGTCCCATGCTGTCACTGAAATAGGTTGAATTTGGATATCAAGCTTTCAGAAGCTTCTCCTGTCACAGGGAATATGTATTTTTTTTTTAATTAAGCAGTTACATATCTTAGCGGGTTGAAATATAAATTAGTAGTTAAAGATAATTTTTTCTTTTTCTTTTTAAGTAGGTTCCATGCCCAGCGCAGAGGCCAACATAAGACTTGAACTCATTCATGATACTGAGATCAAGACCTGACCTGAGATCTAGAGTCAGCTGCTTAACCAACTGAGCCACCCAGGCACCCTCAAGGTAATTTTCAAATGATTATTTTCATACAGTATTTTATTCTATTATTTAAAAAAACCTTTTTATTCTAGGGGCACCCCTTTGCTTTTGAAAACAAAGATAAAAAAAACTGGCCTTATTATTATGTTCAGTTGTAAAGCTGAACATTTACATATCTATATACCAGGTAATCCACTCTAAGGTATATGCTAAAGAGAGCCGCTGCGCATGGGATCAGAAGCCACGTATAAATAACCTCATGGCAGCACTGTTTCTCCTAGGAAAAAATAAGCACCTGGAAATTGTTTAAATGCTCCACCGCCTCCACGATGTTTGTCTTCCCCACGTCTTCCTCTTCAAGGTGAATGTATACCGGGCCAGCACCACCCCCGCCACGGGAGCTCCCACACTGGCGCTCGCTACTGAGGCCACCCTGGCCACCACCGCCTGGTTCACATACGGGGCCTTTTGCGCCTGGGATCGGGGAAATTAACTGCTCCGGGAGTCTGGGACGCGCGAGCCCGCGGAAAAGCCCAGACGCTCCGCCCCTCCTGCGTAAGCCCCGCCCCCGCGGGAAGCTCCACCCCACGCGCTGACACGCGGGACGGGTAGGCATGGGAGGGGCGTGGCCTGCGTCCACAGCGGAAGCATGAGGCGGGTATTCCTCGGAGCCTACATCTGAGGAACTGTCCAAGGACCGGAAAGGGAATGGTATTAATTATCTCTGTGCTAATAAGGACCAGGGAGTGGTTCACTCCAGCCCCCTCCTTTAGAAATCTGATTCCAACCAGGCCCAAGCAGAAAAAGTCTTCCACCTTCCACCCTCCTCGGCCACTCTGGACTACAGCCCCCAGAAGGCATCGGAGCTCAGCCATCCGACTTGCGCAGGGGCGTTCGTTGTAAAGTGCTATGACAACAGGGCGAAGATGGCTTGGAGTTAGGCGGGAGTGGGGAGTTGTCCCTTCCGCCGTTGCTGTCCTCTATCTGCTACATCCCACTGACTGCCTCCCTCACCATTTCCTCCTCTTTGTGAGAAGCAGGACTTGCCGTTGTTCTGGCCTGCCTGGTCTCTTCCAAGGGATTGATGCCGTTTCCCCTGCGTGTCTGCGGGGTTGACACAGAAGGGATGCAGGTTTACTCCTTGTGGGTGTCGCTCCAACTCTGTGGAGCTGGTGGTGCTCCCTGGTGAAGCTCTTTCTATCTGGGACGTGGAACAAGTTGGAGCAGGGGAACGACAGGGAGTAGTGAAGCGAGGGGTTGCTTTGCTCTGCACCCTCCATTCTTGCTCTCGTCGTTGCAGCCCTGGGACCCTGGCAGGCGTCCTTAAAGGGAAATCTGCGGAGAGTTCGAGGAAAGGTGGGGCAGGACCCACCTGATTCGGCATCAGGTAAGCGTATGTCTGGAATTAAACATTGGGAGCGTGAATGCCCTTTCTGTGTTTTGTTTTGTGGGCAAGATTGATCCTCTGATGCCATGGAATGGTTTTGGGGGATATTGGATGATAGGTTTCTTAGGAAGGATGTTTGCATTAAAAATCGAACAAAACGCAACTAGGTGCACGAAGTGTGTGGAATCTTTTTTTTTTTTTTTTTTAAGATTTTTATTTATTTATTTGACAGAGAGAGAGCGAGAGCGAGAGCAGGAACACAAGCAGGGGGAGTGGGAGAGGGAGAAGCAGGCTTCCTGCTGAGCAGGGAGCCCGATGTGGGACTCGATCCCAGGACTCTGGATCATGACCTGAGCCGAAGGCAGACGCTTAACAACTGAGCCACCCAGGCGCCCAAGTGTGTGGAATCTTACGAACATTTTTAAGAAAGGGTGATAAGAATTTTTAAAGATTCCATTCAGAAATGTCACATGGTGCGCAAGCATCCTCCTCCCATGACTCTTCAACAACAGGTCTTGTGAGCAAATGGTCAAAGCAATTCTCAGCCTACGACTGCAGTAGGATGCATGCACTAATACCCTCTAATTCTTGCAATAGGATTACTGCTTCTCCTTCTCTATGTTGCAGACCACAGCAGTTTAGATGAACGGAGCTGATTTTTATCAGCATCTCCTTTCCCTAATTAAGTCCTACAATTGACTTCAATGGAGAAATTCATAGTTTTGTTTTGTTTTTGTTTTTTGCCACCTCACTTTTCCTTTAAACATGAAACCACGTCACACACATACACAACTTGAAGATACTAGGAGGAAAACTATCGGTCTTCACTAAAGTTCTCTAGCATTTAGAGCGGCATAGATTTTCTAACTTGTTAGAAATACATAAAGAGAATAATTGCTGATATATATATATATATTTTTGTGAATAGACTAAATCCTTATTTAGGAGAATTAAAAAAAACTTGCAAATAGTTTATAAGCTATTTGAGTTTAAGGAATTTTTAGTTTTGTGTAATTGTGTGTAATTGCTCTTAAATTACAACCACACACTTATGTTTATGGTACAAGTTCTTGATGAAAACATTCACTGAAGGGGAAAAATCCAGTATCAATAGTATATAGTAGTTGTTAATGTTTTACATCTTTTGATGTATGTAGCAAGTCTCATCCCTCAGAATAAAGACTCAAATATTTCTCAAAAATTATCAAAACACATGATGTTATTATAAAACATCCCTGTTGATTAACATTTCAGTGAAAGATTACTGTCATTTTTTATTTTTTTAAAAGATTTTATTTATTTATTGATGAGAGAAAGAGAGGCAGAGGGAGAAACAGGCTCCCCAAGGAGCAGGGAGCCTGATGCAGGACTTGATCCCAGGACCCCGGGATCATGACCTGAGCCAAAGGCAGACACTTAACCATCTGAGACACCCAGGCACCCCATTTTTTAAATGTTGCATTTAAATATTCAGTCCAGAGGTTCAGATTGGCATTGCTCAGAATACATTCCACCACCACCACCACTTCTATTACTACTACTAGGTTACTACTGACATTTATCTGACATTTATTGAGTACATCCTATGGTTAAGCAGTTACATGTGTTAGGCCATTTTATCTTCCCACCCCCCAGAACCATTAGGAGATTAGAAGGTGAGGGACTTGTTTCAAGTCACTCTGCTGAGGTGTGAAATGGAAAAGAGAACCCAGGTCTGTTTAACTCCCTCTTCTGTGCTCTTTTGTCTTCTGTGTCTTTTATTGAAAATTTCAATACTGATTCCTTATAATATTGTCTTCAAAAGCAACATTCTTCTTTTTTTTTTTTTTAAGATTATTTATTTATTTATTTGAGAGAGAGAGAATGAGAGAGAGAAAGCACATGAGAGGGGGGAGGGTCAGAGGGAGGAGCAGACTCCCCGCCGAGCAGGGAGCCCAATGCGGGACTCAATCCCGGGACTCCAGGATCATGACCTGAGCCAAAGGCAGTGGCTTAACCAACTGAGCCACCCAGGCGCCCAAAAGCAACATTCTTCTAATTCTACATATACTTGTCACTTTTCTTGCCCTGGATGACCTGATTCCTACTTTCCAAAATTTGAGTCAGGACTAGCATGACCTGGAGAAAGTAAAACTGCAAATATGAACAACAGCGTCAGCAGCTTAGCCTCCTAATTCCAGGATCTACCTTCTAATCCAAATATTCTCTCTTTTTTTTTTTTTAAGAGGAGAGAGAATTTTAAGCAGGCTCCACGCCCAGTGTGCAACCAAACCTGGGGCTCAATCTCACAACCCTGAGATAGCAACCCTGAACCCAAGTCAAGATCAGATGCTTAACCGACTGAGCAACCCAGGCACCCCCACATTTTCTTTCCACAGGATTCTTGGGGTTATTTTTGTTGCAGCAATTCTTCTAGTCATCCTTCCATATTGTAGGACTAGGCCAATGGGGTGTTAAAACATCCATATCTTAAATGAGAACTAAATCTGAGTAAATTTTGATGTGGAAGATAATGTATATATGTTAAGTATTAAAAATAAGAAAGTGTCAAGTATGGAAGAGTATTTCTGGAGTTAGGGGATAAAGAGGTTATCTTCTATTTATTATTCTAATGAAGCATAAGAAATCAATCTTTTGTGGTTATAGGTATGGACCCTTTAAAACCTTCACATTGTTGTTTTCTAGTCATCCTTAAAAAAATTAATTAGGTTGGGGCGCCTGGGTGGCTCAGTCAGTTAAGCATCTGCCTTGGGCTCAGGTCATGATCCCAGGGTACTGGGATCGAGCCCCTCGTGGGGCTCCCTGCTCAATGGGGAGTCTGATTCTCCCTCTGTTCCCCACTCCTCCTGCTCTCTCTCTCAAATAAATAAACAAAATCTTAACAAAAAATTTATTTAGGTGTATGAAATACTTTCTTGCAGTTTGAACTTGCAGTGATTACAATTAATACCAACAGAGTATATCTTTTTATTCTTTGTGGGGTGGCTTCACTGAATGTTTAGGGTTCTGGAGTAGACAGCCTGCTTTGGGATGCTACTTCTACTACTTACTAGTTGTGACCACTTGGGCAGGTTTCTTAACCTCTCTGTATTCAGGGATACCTGAGTAATAGTACCTATCTTTTACTTTGTAGTTCTGTTTTGAAGATTAAAATAGAGTACTTGCAAAGCACTTAGAGCACTGCCTGGGACTTAGTGAATGATTAGTAACTGTTAGCTATTTTCCTTTATATCAGTATTTCTTTTTTTTATTGTTGAATAATATTTTGTTTTATGGATATGCCAACATTGTGTTTATATATTCATCAGTTGATAGACATTTGGATCGTTTCTACCTTTTGTTTGGGTCATTTTTACCTTTTGAATATTATGAATAATGCTGCTATAAATGTTCCTGTATAAGTTTTTATGTGGACATATGTTTTCATTTCTCTTGCAACCTTGGACTGGAATTGCTGGATCATATGATTACTCTATGTTTAATTGTTTGAGGAGTTGCCAGATCACTTTCCAAAGTGGTTGTACCATTTTACATTACCACCAGCCGTGTATGAGCATGTTGATTTTTCCACATCTTTGCCCAAACTTGTTTCATCATAGTGGGTATAAGGTGGTATCTCATTGTAGTTTTGATTTTCATTTCCCTGTTGGCTAATGATGCTGAACATCTTTTCATGTGTTTATCAGCCACTTGTATATCCGACTTGGAGATCCTTTGCCCATTTTTAAATTGGGTTTCTGTCTGTGTATTATTGAGTCATAAGAGTTCTTTGTATGTTACAGATATATATATATATATTTAAATATTTTATTTATTTGAGAGAGAGAGAGAGAATAAGCTGGGGGAGAGGCAGATGGAGAGGGAGAAGCAGGCTCCCCACTGAGCAGGGAGCCCCATGAGGGGCTCGATCCCAGGACCCTGAGATCATGACCTGAGCCGAAGGCAGATGCTCAACGAGTTGAGCCACCTAGGTGCCCCCAGATGTGTCTTTTATCAGAGATATGATTTGCAATATTTTCTCCCACTCTGTGGGTCTTTTTCACTTTCTTAGTGTTGTTTGAAGCAAAAGTTTTAAATTTTGGTGAAGTCCCTTTATTTTTTCTTTTGTTACTTATGCTTTTGGTGTCAAGTTTAAGGATCTATCACAATATCTAATATCATGAAAATTTACTTTTAAGTTTTCTTCTAATAAGTCTTCTAAGAGTTTTATAGTTTTAGCTATGCATTAGCATACATAAAAGTCTTTGATCCATTTTGAGTTAGTTTTTTTTATATGGTTTGAGGTAAGGGTCTAACTTCATTCTTTCTCATGTGGCTATTTAATTGTCCTAGAACCATTTGTTGCAACTTCTCATTGAATGGTCTTAGCATCTTTGTTGAAAGTCATTTACTCTCCATTCTTTTCCATTTATCTGTATGTCTTTCCTTATGCCAGTACCATACTGTCCTGAATACTATTGTTTTGTAGTTAGGTTTTGAAATGGGAAAATCCTCCAACTTTGTTCTTCTTTTTTAAGATTGTTTTGGCTATTCTGAGTTGCTGGCACTTCTTCTTCTTCTTTTTTTAAAGATTTATTTAATTATTTGAGAGAGAGAGAGAGGGTGCACGAGTGCATGCACATCAGGGGGAGGGGAGAGGGAGAGAATCTCTAGCAGATCCTGGCTGAGTGTGGAGCCCCCATGCAGGGCTGGATCTCATGACCCTGAGATTATGACCTGAGCTGAAATCAAGAGTCAGACGCTTAACCGACTGAGCCACTTAGGTGCCCCAGTTGCTGGCAATTCTTTTCTTTTTTTTTTTTTTTAAGATTTTATTTATTTGAGAGAGAGAATGAGAGAGAGAGCACATGAGAGGGGGAGGGTCAGAGGGAGAAGCAGACTCCCCGCTGAGCAGGGAGCCCGATGCGAGACTTAATCCCGGGACTCCAGGATCATGACCTGAGCTGAAGGCAGTCGCTTAACCAACTGAGCCACCCAGGCGCCCAGTTGCTGGCAATTCTATATGAATTTCAGAATAAGCTTGTCAATTTGTACAAAGAAGCCATATGGGAATCTGATAAGGACTGCACTGAATCTGTAGATCAATTTGGGAAGTATTGCATCTTAATAATGTTCTGGCTTCATATCCACGGACATGGGATGTCTTCCTGTTTATTTAGATCTTTAATTCTTTTGACTGTGTTTTATAGTTTTCAGCTGCTTTTGTTAAATTTACTCCTAGGTATTTTATTCTTTTGGATGCTATTGTAAATGCAGTTGTTTTTTTAAGTTTCATTTTTTTGGATTGTTCACTGCAAATGCATAGAAATGCAGTTGATTTTTGTATGTTAATACTTTTGTGTCCTTCAACCTTACTTGTTTATTAGCTCTAATAGTGATAACATATATACATATACATAACATACATAACATAAAATACATACTTATACATAACATTATGAGAGAGAGAGAGAGAGAGAGAGAGAGAGCATGAGTAGGGGGAGGGGCAGAGGAAGAGGGAGAAGCAGACTCCCCACTCTACTACTGACTCATGCTTTTTCATTTTTTTTTTTTTAAAGATTTTATTTATTTATTTGAGACAGAGAGAATGAGAGACAGAGAGCATGAGAGGGAGGAGGGTCAGAGGGAGAAGCAGACTCCCTGCCGAGCAGGGAGCCCGATGCGGGACTCGATCCCAGGACTCCAGGATCATGACCTGAGCCGAAGGCAGTCGCTTAACCAACTGAGCCACCCAGGCGCCCTTTTTCATTTTTTCTTGATATTAAATTGCAGGCAGTGGCAGTCTAACAAGACAAGAAGCTAGAGACCAGGGAGAGGGTACGCAGAAGCAAGTTTCTGCCATTAGCTGTGTGACTCAGGGGAATCATGTAACTAACCTCTCTGGGCCTCTCTTACAGAATGAGAGGACTAACTGATTATTAGGTACCTTCTAGCTGTTAATGTTAAAGTCTCTTTTTCAAGCTTGGAAAGGTAACAGGTGGCACAGGTCCCAGGAAAAAGGAAGTGGGAAAGTAGAGCCATGCTATAAGAAAACATCTACTTTGGCTATCAGGTATCAGTTAAACTGGTGCTTTTTATACATTAAGGTACATGTGAATCACCTGGGGTTATTGTTTGAGGTGGGGCTGAAGTTTTGTATCATAAGGTCTTGGGTGATGCTGATGCTGGTCCATGGACTACACTTTGGGTAGCAAGGAGCTAAACAATGAAGGAAAGGAGAGTTTTCAGCAGCTAATGAAGTGGAAGGTGACTAAGGAGAAACCGAGAGCAGGAGAAGCAGGAAGGAACTAAATGTTGCCTGTGTTATTTTGTCAATAGGAATAGGTCTTAAATTTTATGATTGAAGTCCTTGAAAAATTAGTGCTTGATGACATTTCCATTTACAGACAATGTTGGAGAGTTAGTTTTTCATATTGGAGGGTTTTTCTTTTTTATTTTAGCAAGCTGAAAAAATTTGCTCATTAACAAAGATTTTTGGGCCATTTTCACATAATAGCTATTTTCACTTGATGCAGTCATGTGTGTTTATACAAACTTTGATTTTTTATATATTATTTAATAGCATTGATGGAAAAAACTCTTCTTTGTGACCATTACTTGGGTGTTTAATATGTTCTCTAGGCAGGTCCCATGAGGTTTTCTCTTCTGCCTACATGAGGGGAAAGATACCCCTTTGGATGTTGAACAGATCTTCTCTTCCTATTTTCTCTCCTTGGGACTCCTTTTAAACTGGCTGATGCAGAATGTGTACAAAGGATCCCATACTTGTTGGTTAACCTCTTGATTTCTATTTTTGACTATGTTTCCAAATGGAGTTTTGACCCCAAGCTTTCATTCTTTGTGACATATCAGCAGCATTTCATGGAGCTGGCCACTCTCTTTTTCTAGATACACCTTTTTTTCCCTATTTCCTTCCAGATGGCACACTCCTGGTTTTCCTTTGGTATCTGGATGCCCCTGTTCAGTTTTCTTTTCTTTTTTTTTCCTGGCCTCTGACCCCAGAGCCCAGTTTTTCTACCTTGGAAGCTTGTGTCTGATTTCCTCCAGAACTCTGCCCCCCAGCCCCCCACAGCCCAGCCTCATGTACCTTTTCCCTTTTTTGATTATGCTTTTTATTCTTTCACTGTAATAAATCATGGCCATGATAATAACTATATGATGAGTGCTGTGAGTCCTCCAAGTGAGTCTTTGAGTGGTATTGAATTTGGGTAATATTCTGCTCTGGGCTGCAAGAGAATGATGTATCTTTATATTGTAGTCTAATAGTATATAGGTGTATAACAACTTTCCATATATATCTGGAGTATATAATGAGACTGTGTGGTGCTTATTAAGTACTGTTACTTCCCTCTCAAATAAAAAAAATCTAGTAAAAGTGTAATAAAGTGTTTATTACATTTTTTATATACTTGCTGCCAGGTTTGAAGTTTAGTCATCTGGCAATCTGTATGGTTATATAATGGCATTAGTAATAACAAGTGATGCAGATGTTTTTCAGAAACTCTCTCACATATGTTAAAACTCATTATAAGCTTATTTACCTCCTATGTTTTTTTCCCTTCACTTCCATCAACACTTTGCCTTTATCTGACTAATTTCTTTTTTAATGGAAAGAGAGGCCTTGGATGGAATTTTCTTTTTTCTTTTTTTCCTATTGTTTGTTTCTTTAAACTTATCATCTGAAATAATATTCTCACATAGAAATTGTAAAAGTAATGATTTCCCAGTGGTAGCAGAACAATTATCAAACTACTAAGTTGATGTTAGTATAATACTATAACTAAACTATAAATCTTACTTTAAAAAATCTTAGATTTCACTATGTTTTATATTATATACACTTTTCATCTTGGAATATAGCTCAAAGAAATTAAAATTTATCCCATGAAACCACCACTAAAATCAGGGTACAGAACTTTTCCATCATCCCAAAGAATTTCCCTTCTCCTAGCCCATTAAATTCACTACCCCCCAACGCTGGCAATCACTGATCTGTTTTCCATCAGTTTAATTTTTTCATTTTGAAAATGTTATGGAAATGGAATTATTTAATATGTGATCTTTGGGGGTTGTGCTTTTTTTTCACTCAGCATAATACCCTTGAGATCCATCCTTGTTGTTGTTTTTTCATTTAAAAAAAATTGCTGAGTTTTATTCTAGTGAGGATTTACCATAGTTTGTTTATTCACACATTGAAGGACATTTGTTTCTTTTCTTCAGTGTAGGTTTTAAAAAAAAATATCATAAAAAGGTAAAAACCGTAACAATGGCTAAGGTTTATTGAGTGCTTATATGTAGCAAGTATTGTGCTAATAATACCATGTTCCTTTTTTTCAAACTAAAAGTTTTTATTTTTGATTTTGAATTGTGATAACATATATACATATACATAACATACATAACATAAAATACATACGTATACATAACATTACCATATACATATACATATAACATACATATACATAACATAAAATTACTATCTTAACCATTTTAAGTGTACAGTTCAGTAGTTAAGTACCTTCACATTTTTGTGCAACCAGTCTCCAGAACTCTTCACCTTATAAAACTGAATCTCTATACCCATTAAACAAAAGCTCTCCACTTCTTTCTCACTCCAAACCTGGCAACCACCATTCTACTCCATGAATTTGGCTACTCTAGATACCTCATATAAGTGGAATCATGCCGTATTTGTCTTTGTGACTGGTTTATTTCACTTAACATAATGTTCTCAAGGTTCATCCATGTTGTTGCATGTGTCAGAGCTCCCTTGTATGTATATACCACATTTTGTTTATCCAGTCATTCATTGATGGACACTTGGGTTGCCTCTCCCTTTTAGATATTGTGAATAATGCTGTTATGAACATGGGCGTACATATCTCTTTGAATTCTTGTTTTCATTTCCTTTGAATATATACCCAGAAGTGGAATGGGTGGATCATATGGTAATTTATATTTTTATTTATTTGTTTTTTATTTTATATTTTTATTTTTTTAGAGGGAGAGATCGCAGGGGAGATGGGTAGAGGAGAGGGAGAGAGAGAATCTTAAGCAGGCTCCATGCTCAGCACGTAGCCCAACATGGGGCTCTGTCTCACATCCCTGAGGTCATGACCTGAGCTGAAATCAACAGTCAGATGCTTAACTGACTGAGCCACCCAGGAGCCCTGGTAATTTGTATTTTTAATTTTTTGAGGAACCACCATACAGTTTCCATAGCGGTTGCACTCTTTTAGATTATCACCATCAGTGCACAAGGGTTCCAGTTACATCACATCCTTGCCAACACTTGTTATTTTCTGCGTTTTTTGTTTGTTTGTAGTAGCCCTAGTGGGTGTGAGGTGGTATTTCATTATGTTTGTGATTTGCATTTCCCTAATAATTAGTGATGTTGAACATTGTTTCACATGCATTTTGGCCATTTATATATCTTCTTTGGTGAAATGTCTGTTCAAGTCCTTTGCCCATTAAAAAATTTTTTTTGTTGACATGTATGAGTTCTTTATGTATTCTGTATATTAACCCTTTATTAGATATATAATTTGTAGATATTTTCTTCCATTCCATAGGTTGCCTCTACTGCATTCTTATTTATTCCTCACAACATCTTTCTTTATTTTATAGATGAGGAAGCTGACTTTTAGTAACCCTCCACTGATTTCATGGTTTGTATGGAACACGGATTCAAATTCACACTGACCTTCTCCAGAGTCTACAGTTTTCACCACCACATGATTCTCAGCTAATTTCTTGGCCAACTTAATGAAAGCAAGTGGTCTTGCTTTCTGTGATTAGCCTATGTGGAAGGCCTACTTTAAGAAGCAGATTGATTTACATTTTTAAATTTAAATTTTAATTTATTTTTAAAGATTTTATTTATGTATTTGACAGAGAGAGAGAGAGAGAGCACAGGCAGGGGGAGTGGCAGGCAGAGGCAGAGGGAGAAGCAGGCTCCCCACAGAGCAGGGGAGCCCAATGTGGGGCTCTATCCCAGGCCCCTGGGATCATGACCTGAACCGAAGGCAGACACTTAACCAACCGAGCCACTCAGATGCCCTACATTTTTTTAAATGTATAGTTGATCCTCATTATTTGCAGATTCCCTAGTTGTGAGTTTACCTATTTGCTAAAATTTATTTGTAATACCAAAATCAATACTCATGGTGCTTTTGGGTCATTCATAATCATGCATAGAGTGGCAAAAAATTTGAGTCACTTGACGCACATATTCCAGCAGATATCATCCACAGTAACTGCCTACTTGTTTCAGCTATTATACTATATACAAGTATCCTTTTCATGGTCTACTTAGTGCCATGTTTTCTACATCTCTGTGGTTTGGGTTTATTTATTTGTTTTTTAAAATTTTTGTTACTTAAAAAGGTCCCCAAATGTAGTGGTGAAGGGCTGTCTAATGTTCCTAAGTGTGAGAAGGTTGCTATGTACCTTATAGAGAAAATATATGTATCAGATAAGCTTCCTTCAAGTAAGAGTTATAGTGTTGTTGACTGTTGAGCTTGAATGTTCGTGAATCAACAGTATATTAAATAAAGTATCTTTAAACAGAGACACATAAAAAACAAAGTTATGTATTGATTGGTTCATGAAAATATTGTGACTAGAGGCTCACAGGAGCCTAACTTTCTATTTCCCCTAGGAAAAGTAGTTCAGTATTTGCTAGAAGTTCAGTATTTGCTAAGGTTTGCTACAGCCTTATAGAATGGAATGTCTTTGAATAAGGAAAATTGACTGCATTTCCTAACAATTATTTAAAGCAGTGTAGCATGAAGAAAAGGCTCATTTATGTTGGATAAATGAACTTCCATAGAATCCCAGGGTGTGTGATGTTTGTGTTGTAATTCAAGAAGTCCAATGGGCTTTCACATTTACTATATCAATATCAATGGTAGATGTGGCTGGCATATCCTCATTCTAGATGAGGAATCAAAGTAGAGGGAGATTTTATGGGTTGCCTGAGTCACAGGTGGTTAGCGATATAGTGGTATAAATGCCTGTACACTCAGTTTTCCTGGTTGTGTTTTGGTGTGAATTTCCCTCTTCCACTTTGCCTTTCTACAGTTAGAATGGGGAAAGTGTGTGAATGCTTTTTGAGTACCTGTAATGTATCAGTTCCAGTGTTAGTCATTTGAACTCATTTGCTCTTCTCAGCAATCCATTGTGACAAGAGATGCTGTGGTCTTTCCAAAGACCAAAATGAAGGAAAATCAGGTATTTTGCTAAGGAATTATGTACTAATTAGTGCTGTTAGAATTTGAATCTTGATCCTCCAAAGAATATTTTTTGATACTTCGTGTCATTCTCTACCAAATGTTCCAGAAGAAAGAATTGGCCCAACATTTATGTATAAAATTTTTCAGACTGACTCTCCAACGGCTTTGCAAAATATCTGATCATGTTTCCAGTTGTTTGGATTTGTGGTTTCGCACATTTCTGCAAAATATAAAAAATTAAATTTAAATTCAGAAATGTTTTTCTTAACATTGTCCAAGTTTAATTTGCTATGCTTTAAGAGATAATTGATTTTTTTTTTTTTTAAGATTTTATTTATTTATTTGACAGAGAGAGGGACAGCGAGAGAGGGAACACAAGCAGGGGGAGTAGGAGAGGGAGAAGCAGGCTCATCGCTGAGCAAGGAGCCCGATGTGGGGCTCGATCCCAGGACCCTGGGATCATGACCCGAGCCGAAGGCAGTCGCTTAACCAACTGAGCCACCCAGGCGCCCTGAGATAATTGATTTATAATTCATGGTGTGAAGTAGATTTTTACTATAAATAAATGCTTTCTTTTTATAGTGAACGAAAATGTCTTTATTTAAAGCCCGTGATTGGTGGTCTACTGTTTTGGGAGAAAAAGAAGAATTTGATCAAGGCTGTTTGTGTTTGGCTGACATTGACAATACTGGAAATGGACAAGGTAAGCAACTTATGGCCATGCCTCTTGGAGGAAAGCTTTACAGACATAAAATAAAAATGACTTCGTTTTTTAAAGTGTACTTATTCACTTTAAAGTGTACTTATAGAACTTAAGTGAACTGTCATAATTATGCCCTAATTTTGAAGGTAGTTTTCCTTATAATATTTAGGTAGCAGACTGATAAATATAGTTCTTACTTCTGTTTCGCTCTTTGTGTTTTTCTGGTTTGTGTTGATTCTGTCATATGACTTGGAACTGGAAAAATATTACAAGGTAATATTTAATTTGTTTTCATTTGTTGCAAAATTTGTTTTCATTTTTTTGCAAAATTAGGTAGAGCTACTAAAATATTTTTAATTTTGAAGTATTTTTAGAAATTATTTTCAAGGAAAATTATATTTAAAAAAAATTTTAAATCTGAAAGCCATTCATACCAGAATGGAAAAGTTATTCTAGCTCTATTTGTTGATAGAAAACAATTATTAAATCATTACTTTCATTTTCATATTATGATACTAGAAATAGCATTCTGTCTTATATATTTGTTTCTCTTTGCATCTTCATATTTTTTGAAGTGGTCTCTAAAACATTGTAGTTCTGTATCATTGCTATTTGAAACTTATATTTGGTTTTAATGATTTATAGTCATGAGCTTCTTCTTTTCTTTTTTGTAATCCGGATAGTCGTTGGCCTCTTAAAAAGAAAACTTACAATCATTCTTTCATTCAATGTGTATGAATATTATCTCCTTACATTTTCTTTATTTTATTTCTCTTGTGTATAACAAAAACAGTAGAATCTTGGTGGCAAGGTGAAAGGAGAAAATTATATTGGCACAGAAGAATGGGAGGTACTAAGCTGTACTGAGCACCTAAATTGTTTCTAAGGAAAATCTGGGCCCTGCCCTCCCACTGATAGGAGATGGGAAGGTCTTCTACTCAGAGGGTGTCCTGAGAGGTTCCTCAAAGATTATCAGCTTTGTCTCCTGCCTGTTTGTTAAAACTTATGATTCCCTTATTATTTGGCAAGACAGAATACTCAGGCTATAAAAATATATGCCAAAGAGAACAATTTCAAACCCATTTTTGTCCAAACTATCTAAAGCTCAATTTGGTTAGAAACTATCCTGATTGATTGTCTGTATAACTTACTGTTCACTCATCATTTCTATTAGAGCTCTTCACTGGGGTGCTAGCAATGGGTTACCAGTTTGCTTCCTCCCAATTTATGGCCAGCTGTGAGAAGCCTCCTCTGTTTTCCCAAGGGTACTATACAAAAATCACTTCATATGTGTGTCCCACATAGAAAAAATATCACCTATCATTTCTCAAAGCTTGGACCACCGTGCAGTATCATCATATTCTGGGGTGATTGTTATATATGAAGATTTTCTATCTCAGATTTATAGCTCCTATAAGGCCATATTTCCCAAAGGTAGGTGGATTGGAAGGGTGGGCTTAGGTGTCTGCATTTTTGATAAGCTCCAAAGTTGAAGGATGACACATAACAGTTTAAGAATAATTCCCATTGATCTTATAGAATGGAAGGTAAATGAGAGCAGTTTGGGACATGCTCTATTTGAGATAGGAATGTCTAGTAGGCAGAATAGAGGTAGCGATATTTTATTTTATTTTAATTTAATTTTTTTTTTTTAGAGAGTGCACATGGAGCAGGGGATGGGGGCAGGGGGGAGAGGGAGAGAGAGAATCTTAAGCAGGCTCCATGCCTAACACAGAGCCCGATGCGGGGTTCTATCTCATGATCCTGAGATCTTGACCTGAGTCAAAATCAAGAGTCGCTTAACTGACTGAGGCACCCAGGTGCCCCAGTGGTAGTGATTTTTTTTTAGACATTTTTTTTCTTAAGATTTTATTTATTTGTTTGACAGAGAGAGACATAGTGAGAGAGGGAATACAAGCAGGGGGAGCGGGAGAGGGAGGAGCAGGCTTCCCGCTGAGCAAGGAGCCTGACATGGGGCTTGATCCCAGGACCCCGGGATCATGACCCAAGCTGAAGGCAGACACTTAACGACTGAGCCACCCGGGCGCCCCCTGCGCCCCCCCGCCCCCCAGTGGTAGTGATTTTGAAGTGAGCCATATACTGGTTGTATTTGAAGCCCTGAGAATGTGTGAAAATGCACGGGGAAAGAAAGTGGAATAAGATGGAAAGAATCTTAAGACCATAACCTGAAGAATACAAGCATTAAAGGGGGAGGTTTGGGAAGGGTAGACAGTAATAGATTCTGAGAAAGGCAGGCAGAGAGGCAGAACTAGTTGGGCTGGTACCTGGGAGGCAAGGTTTAGTGACACGAAGACTGAAGTTTCCATGCCATTTAGCAACAAGTCATTCATTAGTGTTCTCCATGAGGGTGGATGAGTGGGCACAATGGTAACAAAATCTAGATTTGCAGTGACTGAAGGAGTAGGAGGTAGGGAAGACTGAGTGTTTATGGCCCTTTAAAGAAACTTAGCTGTGAAAGGAAGCATGGAGGATGATGACTGACGGTAATGTAGGGTAAAGAGAAGTGGGAAAAATTCGACAGAGACAGCGAGAGAGGGAACATAAGCAGGGGGAGTGGGAGAGGGAGAAGCAGGCTTCCCGGCGAGCAGGGAGCCCGATGCGGGGCTCGATCCCAGGACCCTGGGATCATGAACTGAGCTGAAGGCAGATGCTTAACGACTGAGCCACCCAGGCGCCCCACTGAGCCACCCAGGCGCCCCAAGAAGTGGGAAAAATTCAATGTATAGCATAAAGGATATATTAAAGCAAGGATGGGGCATCTGACTGGCTTGGTTGGTGGAGCATGTGACTCTTTATCCCAGGGTTGTAGGTTTGAGCCCCATGTTGGGTATAGAGGTTATTTAAAAATAACATCTTAAAAAAAAAAATAGAGGGCGCCTGGGTGGCTCAGTTGGTTAAGCGACTGCCTTCGGCTCAGGTCATGATCCTGGAGTCCCGGGATCGAGTCCCGCATCAGGTTCCCTGCTTGGCAGGGAGTCTGCTTCTCCCTCTGACCCTCCCCCCTCTCCTGCTCTCTCTCTCTCATTCTCTCTCTCAAATAAATAAATAAATAAAATCTTTAAAAAAAAATAGAGCAGGGATCCAGAGAAGACAGTCAGAGATGGGATCAGGTGTGCAGATGGAAGGTGTGAGAACTTTTTTTTTTCACTGTGACAGAAGGCAAGAGGGTAAGAATAGATACAGATGAAGAGAAATTTGCAGGTCAGTTTGGGAAGTTGAGACAATAATGACCCCTACTTTTCTTTGGAGTGATCAGAGAGAGGAAAGGTGGTATTAGGCATCTTGAAATTGTTTTAGGCAAAGCCAACTTGATACATAGAAGGATTCCTTACTAATCTTGAGATCCCAGTTGAAATTAGACTCCATGAATTTAAAGTGGTACTTACTTTCCTGTTCTTCTCAATTCAAGATTCAGATTTGTGGGAGAGACAGATAGTAAGAAGTGGGAGTGAGTAGGAGAGTCTGAGTGGTGCAATTTAGATTCCATGCCAGCCTGTGGTCTGGAGGAGAGTTTACTGCAAGAATCTTAAGTGGAAAACACATAAAGCTGACTGAAAAATAGCTACTACGTTTATCTTTTAGCTACTCAGCATTTATGTCTCACAAGGGGCAACTGTCCCTTGTACAGCTCCACAAGCATGTGCTGTTACTCATCTGCATTGGGAGATAAGAACCATGCACACCTGCTGCTTCAGAGGCACTTTCAGGGAGCCCCAACTCTGCAAGTCCAGGATCTTTGGGTGATATCCCTTTCCCTTGTCATTTAGTCATGATCACGTTCCAATATTGTGCTGCCTCTAGACTCAGTGGTATATACAATCTCTATCCAAACTTATATATAATAGTTGAGGGAGAGAAGGAAAAATTTTAAAATTAAGATGGAGGAGTAGAAAAAATTGTATGGTAACTTAAAGAAGTCATATTGGAGGGATACCTTCTGTTTTGTATCTGGTTACTGGGCTGTGTAACTATGCTACTTACTTTTTTTTTTTTTTTTTTTTTTTACTACCTTCTGTCTGGTTAGGGCTCTTGGTCTTGAGTGGAGATGGAGGGACCAGAGAATTGGTCTAGGCCTGTATTCCTGAGGGATGTAGTACATTAATGCTTGCCTAAAGAGGACTGTAGTAGTTTCATTTACTACTGATCCAGACAGTGTGGGGGAGGATCCTTGGAGATCCCTGGGCTTCACTCATATTTCTTTCAGCATCATTTGGCGCTTAAGAGATGATGATGAGGTAGTCCTGGTTTCTGCAGATTGGATTGTGGCAGTACATTTAAAGATATATGCCTATTCCTGTCCCGTGAAAGCAAACTCTTTCTGTTTAGAAAGGAGAAATGCATTATTAAGATCTAAAACTGTATTCAAGTAGATGGATTGTATTAGTTGGCTCCAAGAAAGACAAGATGTGGAATAATAGAAGAATTTGGGATTACTCTTTAAGTTATACTGATCAACCCTAACTCTCTCTATAAGACCCATTAAACTTGAATATTGACAGATTTGGTTATTAAATAGGGATGTGGTAGGAATCACCACATATGCATATTAACGCTTTTTGGCATTGAATTTTGAAAACTACCCCAAATCAGGCCTAGCAGTGGTATGTATGTGTGTGTGTATGTATGTATGCATGTATGTATTTAAGTAGGCTCCATGCCCAGCGTGGAGCCCATCACAGGGCTTGAACTCACAACCTGGAGATCAAGACCTGAGCTGAAACCAAGAGTCGGACCAACTGAACCACCCAGGCACCCCTACCTGTGGTACTGATTTTGATTTTTCTCCCTGATGGGGAGATAGAGTTCCATTGGCTTCCATATAGCTCTCCCCATATAATATCCTTCATGTACATGTTAGGGAACCAAAAGGATGTTCTACTATTTTCTGTGAAAATACATTTCCTTTAAACTTTCAGAAACTGGGTGAGAAATCATAGGCTGGCTTTGCTCTCCCACTGGGTGAACTAAGTTAAAAAATTCATTTATCACTGAGTCTCCATAATTAGCAACAACAGTATATTTCTAGGCTTCCCGATTTAGTAGTAACTCAGAGCCAATATTCAGTATTCTCACAAAGTTTGGGTATTTCCCTTTCCTCAGTGTACCTGGATAAATAAGTACTTGTCCTGTAGAGAAGGATCTGAGGAAACTTTATATTAGACATGTGTGGTGTTACAGCAACATCTGTGCACTGTATTGTCTTTATTCAAGGGACTCTGAGTCTGTAAATTGACTTCATTGTGGAAATGGGTGAGATGCCATGACTGTCTGTGTGGTGGCTTGAGTTAGTCTTTTTCAGGGACCTGTAATATTTTTGGTTATAGATTTCAAAAAAGGCTTGAGTTTGACAAACACATTATAGGACCTTCTTAAAATTGAATACTACTCTAACAACAACAACAAAAATGAACCACTGTGAAAAAAAGGGTCTTAATGAGTCATTCATTTCATTCCTGGGGATCCCATTAATCATAGCTTAAAATCTGTGAGAATTAGACGGTTACCTGAGATCTGGTTACTATAAAAGTTCTACTGTTTTTTTTTTTTAAGATTTTATTTATTTATTTGACAGAGAGAGACACAGCAAGAGAGGGAACACAAGCAGGGGGAGTGGGAGAGGGAGAAGCAGGCTTCCCGTGGAGCAGGGAGCCCCACACGAGGCTCGATCCCAAGACCCTGGGATCATGACCTGAGCCGAAGGCAGACGCTTAATGACTGAGCCACCCAGGCGCCCCAAAAGTTCTACTATTTTAATACTCATACTTACACATTTTGATTCTAGGGGTTAAATTGTCACCAGGTGGACTTCGCCATCCTGGCTTCCTCTTATCTCTGAAGAAAGGGCTGTGTTGAAGTTGAATCTTGGTTATTTAGTAAGTGAAATAGGGATTAGGGCGTGGTGGGATACATAGGAAGCTCAGTGAGGAGTGTTTTAGAAAAGTTTGGAGGTTTAAGTATATCCAAGCCTTCTAGACTTTGCTAGTAACCTCATTATGTAACATTGTAATCCCATTCTTTGTGATGAATATCTTTGCTTTTATGCATACTCATTTGTTACTGTAATTTAAAACCTACAGAATCAGTCCCTGAAGTAGATTCTTAGTGGTTAAGCCTCACAGATATAAGAAGAAAGAAATTCTTTCTGCAGAGTCCCAAGGACCCTGAATTTTATTCTTTACCCTGAGATGGAAATTTTGAGGTTTAAACTTATCATTCTCTTATTTTAAATTATCCAGTGCTCTTAGAAAAGCCATCTTATATATGGTTTGGCATTCCTCCTTCCTGTTGAGTTGGCCTAGGGCAGCAGCTATCCAGTCCACCAGAGTGTCACCTGCAGTGGGCACAGGGTCCCATTTGCCTGGAGGGTTAACTTGATTAACCATCTGTCACCGTGTACAATTTTATTGTTATTTAACCCTGCCTAGAGTCTTACTGCTTTGTGTCCCAACTCAACTCAAGAACCAATTTCCAAATATTCCTGCAGGAATTGGTACCTGCAGTTTATTCTCTGCTGCCAATTTCTTTCCGAAATTTTTTTTTTGGGTCACAAGTTATAGGAAACAACTCTGATAAATATAAATAAAAGAGGGATTGGAGTGAGAGTGGCATAGATCTCCCAAATGCAGGAAGAGTTTAATTGGCCAAACCTTAGCAGGGGATGGGAACAGCATGGCTCTAGAGACTGTATAGAACTCCTGGGGTCTGCCATCAGATCATCTAGCAGCGGATTCCTGGTGTCTCTATTCAGGATTGAAATTCTTAGGATAGTACCTCTCTCATATGGTTCTTATGAGGATTTAATGAGTTAATACATAAAAGTTACAGAGACCATTAGTTGGCATGCGATAAGCTCTCAGCAAATAAGTATGTAGAACTCCAGGGCGCCTGGGTGGCTCAGATGGTTGGGCGTCTGCCTTCGGCTCGGGTCATGATCTCAGGGTCCTGGGATCGAGTCCCGCGTTGGGTTCCCTGCTCAGTGCAGAGCCTGCTTCTCCCTCTCCCTCTGCCACTCCCTCTGCTTGTGCTCTTCTGTCTATCTCTCTGTCAAATAAATAAATAAAATCTAAAAAAAAAAAAAAAAAAAAAAAAGTATGTAGAACTCCTACTTCTAAGCAGATGGAAAAAGTCAATATTCTATACTAATACAGCAATTTCAAAACTGACACCTAAAGTATTAGTTTCCTAGGGCTGCCATAACAAAGTACCACAAATCGAGTGGCTTAAAGCAACAGAAATTTATTCTGACAGTTTTTAGAGGCTAGAAGTCGAAAATCAAGGTGTCGGCAGGGCCATCCTACCCCTGAAGCCTCTAGGATCCCTCTTTGCCTCTTCCAGCTTCTGGTAGTCCCAGGCATTCTTTGGCTTGTGGATTTATCACTCTAATCACTGTCTCCATTGCCACATGATCATCTTCTCCTTAAATGTCTTCACATGGCATTCTCCTCCCTCCCACCCCCCTCCCTCCCTCCCACCTCCCTCCCTCCCTCCCTCCCTTTCCTCCCTTCCTTCTTCCTTCCTTTTTTTTTTTTTTTTTTAAAGATTTTATTTATTTGAGAGAGAGAGAAAGAGCGAGCGCAGAGAGGAGGGGCAGAGGGAGAGGGAGAAGGTCTCAAGCAGACTCTGCACTGAGTGCGGTGCCCGACTGGGAGCTGGATTCTACCACCCTGAGATCATGACCTGAGCCAAAACCAAGAGTTGGACACTCAACTGACTGCACCACCCAGGCCGACCCCCCACCCCACTTTCTATTCTTATAAGAGAGTTTTATCGCACACCTAATTGAGTGTGACCTCATCTTAACTTGATTACATCTGTGAAGACCCTATTTCCAAATAAAGTCATGGATACTGGGGGTTAGGATTTCAGCATATCTTTTTTTGGCGTGGGGGCACAATTCAACCCACAACACCTATCTTACCATTTCCCCCTCTTGTGTCCAAGTACAGACGTTGTTCATCAGAGCATTCTGTCTGGTGAGGGCTCAGAATTCTTTTTAATACAATGATTTCGACAGCTGTAGAGTTGACACTCTATGATGAAATCAGTGTACAACCTTATACTAGTCTTTTGTGAAAGGACTTGCTTTGACTGAGTTAAATTATAACTACTGACACCAAAGCAAGGCTTAGGAAAAACACATAATAGGGGCACCTGGGTGGCTCAGTTGGTTAAGCGACTGCCTTTGGCTCAGGTCATGATCCTGGAGTCCCTAGATCAAGTCCCGCATCAGGCTCCCTGCTCGGTGGGGAGTCTGCTTCTCCCTCTGATCCTCCCCCTCTCATGTGCTCTCTCCCTCTCTCTCTCATATAAATAAATAAAATCTTAAAAAAAAAAAAGGAAAAACACATAATATATTAGTATGCTTGAATATTGGTGATATAAAAAAAGTTGTTTTTGAAAAGCTATGTCATTAAAATAAGTTCATTTTAATTATGTCATCCGCTGGCAGATTAGCCTTTGTATATGAAGCAACACTTGATTGTTTTAATTTTTAAATTTTTCTTTTAGACATTAGAAAGTTTATTTCCAAAGACATTTTGTTGCTAATGTTTGTTTCTTCTTATATCTTTTAAAAACATCTCTCTACAGATAAAATAATTGTGGGTAGCTTTATGGGATACCTAAGAATCTTTAACCCCCATCCTGTAAAAACAGGAGATGGAACTCAAGCTGAAGATTTGCTTCTAGAAGTGCATCTACGAGATCCAATATTGCAAGTGGAAGTAGGGAAGTTTGTTTCGTAAGTATAGCTCCTTAATTGTGACATTTTATCTTACTTGGAGTATGTCATTCCCTGATTGTGTCATTTTTGTGGACGCTTAAATAAAAAAAGGTTATCCATGAGTTAAATATATTTTCTGATTACTGTTACCTGGGTGTTCCTCATGTACTGGATGAATATATATATATTTTTATATGGAAACCTGCAGATTTATGAGAATAATTTAGGACTTCATTTTATGGTAACAGACCTAACATGCCAGAAGTTTATCAGAAGTTTAAAGGAAAAGAGATAAGCTTTTAAAAGCTTTATTTATTTAAAATAAATAAAGAAATAGAAACTATTCACTTACTTAAAGCACTAATTGCCTAGGTTATATAAATGTTTAAATAATTAGACAAAGTAGCAGTTATGGTATTTGACAAATTACTTTGAAGCTTTAAAATGAATTACTGCACTTATTTGGTGTAGAAAGGTCTTTAGTTTCTTAAAAGAAGCCAGCTCAATCCACAAAGTAAGTCTAACTTTTACAAGAGCTTTGTTTCAAAATACTTTATTTTTAAAACTAATTTATTTTAGGAAGCTGTTTATTAGTTTGCATTTTGTGTAATAGGTCTGCTTTTTATTTCCTGATGATACTGCTGATTTTATCTTATTTTCATACATGAATTTTCTTAAAATTGAGCCTATGTTTCTTAATCATTATAAAAGTATGTATTGTGAAAAGTTGTATAGATAGAGGTGGTCTTATTATTCCTTACCTTTTTTTTTTTTTTTTAAATTCCCTTTGCCTTCCTAAGTCTGGGAGTACCCTGAGCTCTGGATTTTGACTCACTACATTTGTTTGTCATAATTTACTGTCCACAATTACCATTTATTCAGGGCCTTGACTCTTGCTAGAAAAATCTGAACAACAATTCTTGAACATTAGCCTCCTTCTAGTGATGTTTTATTCTGATGGGAAGGTGTTTCATGGATGCTATAGGCAGGGCATGAGGTAGGACTTTGATGCACTGTGATAGGCTGGATCAGAGAGATTTTGTGTCTGACGTGGTTGGTAAATATCTACTCCATCTAAAAGTAGATGATGATTAGGTGCCTGTTGTATACCTAGCATATATTAAGCATGATAGATTTATAAAGTAAGGAGACAGAAGGATTCTTGCCTCTAAAAAAAGCATTTTTATCTTTTCATTTTTTTTTAAAGATTTTATTTATTTATTTGAGAGAGAATGAGAGACAGAGAGCGCGAGAGGGAAGAGGGTCAGAGGGAGAAGCAGACCCCTTGCTGAGCAGGGAGCCTGATGAGGGACTCGATCCCGGGACTCCAGGATCATGACCTGAGCCGAAGGTAGTCGCTTAACCAACTGAGCCATCCAGGCGCCCTATCTTTTCATTTTTTAAAAGAGTGAGGTGCTGTCACGATCATTCTGTTCAGTAGTCCTAAGTATAGCTTTTATCTATGTGGTCACTTGTTGGAAGGGAGGGGGTTAACATTAATGAGTGGATAGTGTACTAGTATTAACTAACTAGTACTGTCTCATTAATCTTATCTATAAGATGTGATCTGTATTTAAAGAGAAGGAAACTAGCTAGAGCTCAGAGCTTTAGGTCACACAGCCAGGATTTAGACCTAGGTCTATCTGACTCCATACTCTGTTATCTTTCTATGACATAATGTTCTTTTCCTGTGCATGATAGAAAAATTGTTTTGAGTGTGCAAAATTTTTTTGAAGTCAGTATTGAGTATGTGATAGTTGTATATATATTTGCATTTTCTGGTAGTAGAGTGAATGGTGAGCATTTACATTCATTATAACGATGTTTTGCAGGTATTATCTAATATAATTCTTATTTTGTAAATGAGAGACTAACACTCTGAAAGGTTAAATGATTACACAGATACCAAGGTGCACCGTCAGGACCCCAATCCAGGTCTTCGGATTTCATTTATAGTCTTTCTAGTTTAGAACAAACAGAGTCTGTATCAGATGTCGTACACTGGAGGACTGCTTGCAGATGTGTTTTAAATTTAAAAGAGTTGCCAGTATTTAAGAACTGGAGATTTCACATAAAATCCCTGCTTTCTGGGTTTTCTTGAAAAAATGTGGAGATTTGACCACATGCCCAGAACTGAGTAGTAGTTACTTCCTCTAGTCTGGCCCTACTCTGCAGCAGACCACAGCCATTTACACCCTTTACTCATTTCTATCCACTGACCTGATCTTGAAGACTGGACTTAGGATTTCTAGACTGTGTTATGTCTTGGAAACCACTTGATAGGGGCTGAGAAGTGTATTGGTGATAGTGGCAGTTTAGTCCAAACTGAAATATTTTCAGTGCCTTTAATAAAATTTCTGAGCTGGAAGTGACATATGCCATTTACTAATAATGATTAGCATTCTGTGGTGCTTTATACTTTACAAGGTGCTGTCGCATGATTTTATTTCATTTAATTGAAACCTCTTATTTTCCGGAGGGGGAAACAGGCTCAGAGAGATTAAGTAACTTGCCCAAGGTCATAGGTTAATTACCCAGAGAGACAGGGCCAGAACTTGGATCTCTGTATTACTGGAGAGCCCTCATGAAGAGGCCTCAGATGCGACTTCTCCTGGGAGGCTCCAGTGACTTCAGGCAGTTAGTTCCTTGAGGCAGAGTCCTTGAGCCTCTGGGATTGTCAAAGTGGGTGTTTGTTGTTATTTATTTTTCAGTTTTGAAAGTTATGTAGTAAATTTTTAGTTTACTGATGGTATGTTGTGGTTATAGTCTCTTTTAAAAATATTTTATAATTTTTTTTGTTACATCTGAAATTGATATTTAAACTTAAAACTTTTCCCATTTTTCAGAGGTACTGAAATGCTTCATTTGGCTGTGTTGCATTCTAGAAAACTTTGTGTCTATTCTATCTCAGGTAAGAAACGTTTTTTTCTAATGTAAAATTTGTATTAGAAAACCTTAATTTAAAAACTCTTAATGTTATGTAAGAATAGATACTCACTTATGTTCACTTGCTAGAGAACACACAAAACATTTGGTTGAAGATTTTCTTATCTTGGTTAACATTTTCCCTTGTTCATTTATTTTTTCAGGTACTTAGGCTATTACATTTTTTTTTTTTTTTTGGTTTGCTATTTATATGCATATTTAAATTTCTAGTAGAGGATTCCTTGAAATCTCCTTCTCAGGAATTGTGTCCAGGATTGTCTGTGACTAATAGAGGCCAATTCTGTATACTTAGGATACTTGAGTGTTTTAAAAAATTTTTATTTATTTTTTATTAAAGCATAGCTGTGACACACGATATTACATTAGTTTCAGGTGTACAGCATAGTGATTCCACTTCTCTATACATTATGCTGTGCTCGCCATAAGTGTGGCTACGATCAGTCACCATACAACGCTATTACATTACCATTGACTGTATTCCTTATGCGGTGCCTTTTATCCCGGATACTTGGGTTTTAGGAAATGTTTAATAGCAACAACAAAATTCATTAGATGCTGAGAGTCATGGTGGTTTAAAGTACTTTTTCTTTGATGAACCTTAAGTGTTTTCTCTTTGCAGTTCAAATTTCTTGGCTTTTGGTTGTTTTTACTCAGCCTGCCTTAAGGCACTTGTCATTCTCTGACACTGTTCGTTAGGTACCAGTATAGCAGTTAATTATAGTTTGGTTTCAGCATTTTGATCCTTATTAAATATAAAAGGTAACTTAAAAATTTTTGTAGTAATTAGATACATTTTAGTTCAAGCTGAGTTATTTTCATGGATGTCAATATTGGGGAAATTTTTTTATGGGTACAATAAAGCTAATTGTTTGGGCATCTGTTCCTTATACAAGAGGTGTTCTTTGGAGTTTGCTCTAAATATTAGCTTCTAGGATTTGAATTTTTCATACTCATTCTCTTATTTGGGCTTTCTTTGTATTTTGCTTTCAGTTTGAGTAATGATTTGTCTTTACTGTATTTATATGTGTATATTTATATACCCTCAACCCAGTGTGGAGCCCAATGCAGCGCTTGAACTCATGACCCTGAGATCAAGACCTGAGCTGAGCAAGAGTCGGACGCTCAACCAGCTCAGCAACCTAGGTGCCCCTGAGCTGGATATTCTTAAGTAGTCTCTTTTTGGGGGTGAAGTTCTATTAGATTTTGAAGGCAGGCTTGGTAACCTGGCGTATGGTATATGGTAGGCATATGTTGACTGTGTGAGTGAACTAATTTTTGGGTAGTGCTGAGGCAATTGGTAGTGGCTCTTTATTACTGTGTGTTATTTTTATTCTTCCTTCTTTCATTTTCTTTTCCACTTTTCCATTTATAAGTCAGAAGCCCAACATAGTACCTCTCTGTCATTGGTAAACACTCCCACTGGTTTCGTGGTAAAAAATGTTGCTTTTCCTAGTGATAGGGCAAATATTTAGTGTTCCAGAATAAATGGAGAAGATGTGATATAGGCTACTTTCCTGCATGCATCTAGTTGTTCCTCTGTTTTCCATCATAAGGCTGTTAACTGTGAGGTGTTACTATTAACTGGGTTTCACAGGACATGGAGGAGGGGAACCTGTGCACAGTTACCCCTGAATACTTCTTGGAGAATTGGTCCCTTCTGGAGGTTCTAAGAGGGCAGGAGAGGGAAGAATCCTACAAACTAGAAATTAGGTAAGACTCTTGGCCTTCCCTGGTCCCATTTGAGTGATGGCCCAGAAAGACAGAAACCTCTAGGGTTTCCCTGGGGCATAGGGCATAATAGATTAGTGATAAAGTGTATGTTTATCAAAAAGACTTGCTGAAAGAAACTGGCATGTTTGGTCACAACTTGTTTATGGGACATTGGTATTTTCCTTCAAATTAGTGTTGAAAATGAAAGTTATTTGTCATGGGAATGGTGATTTTATTGCTCTTTTCTTCTTTGTATTCATTTGCAAGCTTTGTATTCTCTGGGTATAAAGAGTTCTCTAAACTACAGTCCCTTATGTCCCACCTCACTTCCCTATTCTGTCTCTCATTTCTTCAGCCTCTTATGATATTTGGAGGCTGACAATTTGTATATTTTTTCTGGCTTGGCTTGAATTGAGAAGCAGGGAAGTTAATATTTTTGTTCTCTTGAATATGTTTCTTGAGGTTCCAGACTGAACTTTTACCTAGCTTTTACTGTAACAGGGCAAGCGTAAACATTTTTTAGTTTAAGTAAAACCGCTGGTGTCAACAGATGAAAGTGTTAGCTGAACTTGACATTCTCACCTCTGACTGCTCCCTCCCCAAATATGTTTTTGTTTCTTTTTATGCTGTGTGCTTCTAAGAAAAGATTTGAGGCATACTAGAGGAGACCTCCTGGACACACCAAACAACCCTTCATAGTCAGGCCGCTGTGCTGACCTCTTTTTGGTGGGTGATATGTTATCAATTGCATGCTTAATATAGAGAAATAGCAAGGTGTTGCTGAAATGAAGTTAGCCCACCTTATCATACCTAAAGGAAAAGCATCACATGGCATTTCAGATTCCTTTCTGATGGGCTTCAGTTTTTGAGTAAATGGTTACAGATGTATGAGCGTAAGCCATACTGATTATATTCTCTTAAATATTCTTTTCCAAAAATTATGTACTTCAGCAAGCATTTGCTAAGCATTTGACATATTTATAGAATTTTAATGTTTGCTGTGAGTGGGCAAAAAGATGTGGTTCTTTACTTTTGATAGGCTTATATAATCTAATTTGGTTATTTAACACAATGAACCTTTTAATTTACTCTGTAATGGTTTTTATTTCATTTAACTTCATTAGATTTCTCCACAGTTATCTAAAATTGCACCAAAAACTGTTGTCAAGGGACCTTTGATTTTTCCAGAGAATTTTTTGTTTAAATCAAATCGTGTTTAAATAAGGCCAATAGCATCAATGTTCTAATATTCATTTTACTTTCTAATTGATGAAACTTCATATATATGTATTTTTAAAGATTTTATTTATTTATTTGACAGAGAGAGAGAGAGAGAGCGAGAGCAGGAACACAAGCAAGGGGAGTGGGAGAGGGAGAAGTAGGCTTCCCGCAGAGCAGCAAGCCCGATGCGGGCCTTGATCCCAGAACCCTGGGATCATGACCTGAGCCAAAGGCAGATGCTTAATGACTGAGCCACCCAGGCACCCCAATGAAACTTCATATTAATTTTAGCTATACATGGACTGTATTCATAGAGATACACTTGCTATATTCAATCTGTATATCCCAGGACAAAACCTGTGTATAAGTAATTTTAATCTTGTGTCATCGATGCTTCTCTAGGAAAAAATGGTCAGAAATTTTATATTTTTCAGATACTACCTTTATTCCAAAGTAGTATCTAAGGAAGACAAATTGTCTTCTGTTCTCCGTAGGTGCATTATTAAGTTTTAAAGTGCAATTACCTGAAATCTGAAGATTACTACTGCCTTTGGAGCTTTTTCAGAACACAAATCCTAGTGTCATTTCATGCCAAGTTTGTCTAAGTATTGAATGCTGACCCCTGTGTTCACTGACCTTTCAGCTAGCAAACATGTGTAAGTGCATTCCTTACTCAGAGAAGTTGATTTGGTTTTAGGTACAGGATGAAATTTGTAATTTCTGTAGGGACCAAATTTCCAAGTTTCTTGGAACTTTTTTTTCTGGTTTCTTGGAGGCTAGACCTCTCCTAAGGTTAAGGCTGTGAGTTATTTAGTGTGTGTGTGTTTCTTTTTTTCTTTTCTTTCTTTTTTTTTGGCCCATGTGGTTGCAATTACCCCTCAGTTTCCCTGGACCTTACTGATTTTACTACCATTTAGATTTCACAAAGGTTTCATCTATCAGGGTGAGCAGGCAAATTTGAGTCTTTCTCTTTGTTTATTATCCTACTGGTATGTGAAGTCTGTTGTTCCCATTTTTAGGGGCATAAATCAGAGAAGTGATTTTCCTCCAGGAGATTCTCCCGTTAGTTTTCTCTTTCAACCCTTCACCTTCCAAATGAAGAAAAGGCCAGGCTAAGAAAGGTGGAGGTGGAAATGATGTTTTTTGATGACTGGTTTATTTAGGAAAATTGTCATTGGCTTACCAAGTTTTTTCCAAGTTGTAAAATGATGGACATCCAGGCACCAGGTTATATGGTGCTAACTCTAAAGACCTACTTTGAGTACTTTGTCCTTTACCAGCTGTGTGATTTGGGGGGAAATTTCTTAAATATTTACTTATTTATCTATCAGAGAGAGAGAGAGCGCATGCACAAGCAGGGGGAATGGCAAGCAGATGGAGAAGCAGGCTCCCCACTGAGCAAGGATCCTGATGTGGGACTTGATCCCAGGACTCTGGGATCATGACCTGAATCGAAGGCAGACCCTTAACCGACTGAGCCACCCAGGTGTCCCTTAAACTTTTTTTTAACTTAGGGTACTTGCCTCACTTCTAAAATGGAAATAGAAATATTTTGGTTCTTACAACCTCAGTGTACATTGGTAAAACCTTTTGGACTAAAATAAATGCTCATGTATAAATATGTATACACATACATACAGATAGACATATATGTTTAGATTGTTTTAATGATCTAATACTATCCAGTTTGGGGACTGTTTCATTTGCTTTATATTTTAAGTTTTTCTTTAAATTTTGCATTTTTGAATGAAAGACAAAGATGCTCAATGGAAAAAGTTGCATTCTGAATCCTTTTTTTTTCTATCACCTCTTTTAACTATAACGTTCTTGCCTGGTTACTGGGACATAGCTTCAGCTGTAAGTCCTCTAGAAAGCCTAACAACCAGAGAGTAAAATAAATATAAGGAATCTTTTTCAAGGTGCCTGGGTGGCTGAGTCGCTTGAGTATCTGCCTTCAGCTCGAGTTGTGATCTTGGGGTCCTGGGATCGAGCCCCGCATCAGTCTTCTTGCTCAGTCTCCCTTTTCCTCTGCCCCTCCCTCCCACTCGTGTTCTCTCTCTCTCAAATAAATAAATAAAATCTTTATTAAAAAAAAGAATCTTTTCAAATTTGGAAAGAAATAGAAAGAAATTATAGTACATATGATCTATTAAATGCAGAAAAAGTATCTTTGCTTTGAAGGAGATTCTTCTTCAAGGATTTCAAATAAAACATATTGTCCTCTTTACTTGCTAAAGGAAACTTTAGAATATCTCTCCATTAAATTAGGATATAGTGTATTAGGGGCTTGAGTATTTTGAAAGTTGGGACAGGAAACTGAATTGCTTGAAAGTGTGGGGAATTTTTTCTAAGACACTTTGAGTCATGTCTTTGCTCTATTATTGTTTAAGTATAAGGAACTTGACCTCATTTATTTCAGAACTAAAATTGAATGGTTCTGTTTTTATTTAAATAATTACACTTTACTCAAACATAATGGAAATAGATAAGAAATGTCACCCAAGGTGGTATTTCATCTAATGGTGTAATCTACCCAAGACTTAAATTGTTCTAACTGTGCTGGAATTCTGTGTCATCAGTATGCTAATTATTCCTAATACGCATTGTTTTAGTGCTTTGTCATTTTAAATTTCACTGAAATGGAATTACTTAGAATTGGGATGGAGGATGAGAAGAAATGAATATTTTTAAATGTAAACAAATACAAAGCAATTCTGTAATTTTTTTCTCCTTAGGAACCTTGGGTAATGTGGAACATGGAAACCAATATCAGATCAAATTGATGTATGAACATAATCTTCAGAGAACAGCCTGCAATATGACTTATGGATCATTTGGTGGTGTAAAAGGTAATTTGCATTAATCATGAGTATGCTATTACAAGTACCAGATTTAGGATATTTGGCCATATAAAAATGGAGGATCATGGGGTATGAATCTCAGAGGGAGTTAAACACATTTTATTGAGACCTTTATATTCGAGTGGTCAAGCAAAATAATGAAAAGAAAAAACTTTAAATATCAAAAGTGTTTGATTTTCCTATAACCAGCACTTTTATATGGTCTACAGAGATATTTCTAAAAATGTCTTTTCTTTAAATTTTGTCTTTGTACATGAGCTGACTGAAATTGAGCTTTTTTGGGTAGAACTGTGTGACTGCCTCTCTTAGTGGAAGAAGGGGTTGATCTCCTTGATAGGGTGTCCCTGACCTACTTGTGATAGGCCGGGTGAAGCTGTAGAATCCTCTCCCCACCTCGCCCCCCTCCAGGGCCACTGCCCAGGGTTCTGTAGGTTGTTTCTGCTTTAGGGTGCCTGGATTGGGGGCAAGCAGAGACTGAAATGCAGACCTCATCCTGCTCATCAAGGCATGTGCCCTGGCCTGGAATAAACCTCCCCAGAGGAAGGGGGCCTTTTCTAAATTTCACAAAGGCATTACATTTACTAAGTATTGGCTCAGTGAGGCTGGGCTCCTTCCACCTTGGGGAGTATCTTTTTCTAAGTAGCATGGGGCTACGTGCAGCCTGCCCACCCTAATCCCAGAGCTTCCTGCGTTACCAGGGCTTGGTGCTTGCTTGGGTACCCTGTTGCTGTTGGCATGGGAGAGTTTTTTATCTACCACGTACCTCCTCTCACTTCATTGTGATAGGGTGATAGAGGAGCTGCTGGTGCTGCAATGAGGACAGGAAGCCAGGTAGTGACACTTTACCTTTGTGGTTGTGTGTGTGTGTGTGTTGGGGTGGGGTGGGGAGGTACCTGTGGAACATGAACTAGGGATTTCACCTCTTTCTGGGCTCATATTTTTATGAGTTTATTGTTTAATCATTGTATTAAAATGTAGACTGCCTATGTTAGATTTTTCTTTAGTGACATGAAAGAAATGACTTTATTTTGGAAGTCATTTGTGTGAATTCAGTTCTTTCATACATAGAGATAAAGGTGAGGAAGAATGAATTTGAGTATATCAATTAACAGGAATATTTTAGGTGGTAATGTACAAATAAATGTTTTGCATAAAGTGATATGAAACAAAACACTTGGCTAGATTGTGGACTTGCTTAACTTGAGTAATGGGAATGTTTGGATTATTTAAGGAATATGGGAGATGTCCAGAGTTGGATGAAGAGAGGAGAGAAAGTGCTAAAATTTGATGAGAGGCTAACTTTTATCAGTGAAGTATCCTTCCTAACCTCAGCTGTCAGAACTGATTTTCACTGTTCTTTAAAAAAAAAAGTCTGACATGATCAGGGGACCAAGGCCTCTGTTGTTTAATAAACTGTTTTAATTCTTTTCCCCTACTAAATCTTCAAAAGGCAAATTGCTAAATTCTGTGCATCTGGAGTCCAAAAAATTATGATAAGAGAAAAAAATGCTTTGGCTAAATGAAAGTTTTAATTTTTTTGGTAGAATCAAGACAATTCTTTAGACCACCTATCAAATGTTATATTGATTGCACTGTACTTTTTTTTTTTTATCAGATCAAGTTAACCCAATTAAAATAAAGTTTTAAATAAGTAAAAAGGGACTCCTTGCTTTTGTGTGACATTTTTGCTAGATTTAATAATGGACTTCCAAAGTAATGATATAGTTGCTAATTCTTTTGAAAAGAGCAGATGACTTTGTACTTATATAATACCTTCTCTTATTTCTTAAACTTTGCCTTACACTTAAAAAGTACCTGTTGAAAAAACAAGAGGCCATTCTGACATGCTTTACTTTCCTTTGGTTAAGCAGAACATTTCACAATTTGAAACAGAAATGTCTGAGTAGCAGAAGTGATTATTTCATTGAAAGGGTTTGAAACACATAATATCACTGTGGTATCTACAAAAAATATGAAAAAATAGTGGGGGTGGTAAATTAGTAAAAATCAGCTTTATTGGCAGATTTCCAGGGGGTAATAGCGAGTTACTACTAATAGGTACATGATTTCTTTTTGGGAGGATGAAAATGTTCTAAAATTAGATTATGGTGATGGTTGTACAGTTCTATAAATACAGTAAATACTTGAGCTGTATACTTTAAAGAGGTGATATATAATATCTCAATACAACTGTCAAAAAAATTAGCCATGGGATAAAATCTGATGCTAGGGAGGCGATAGTAGAGTCTACATATCCTACATTGCTTGGGGCCATGTAAAGTGACATAATACTCCTATATAGCAGGTTGGCTATTGAAAACCATGAAAATATTCTTGGATGTTCATATGTGACTTATGGCAATGTATATTAGGAAATGATCCAAAATATAGAAAAATCATATCAAGTTGCCATACAGTTATTTCTTTCCTCTTTCTGTCCTCCCTTCCTTCCTTTCATATATACATTTATATATTTATTTCTAATAGAGAAAAATTAGAACTGATCTAAATGAGTAATAGAGGAGAATGACGAAGTTTTGATGCATAGATTCAGTAGGTTGTTATGAAGCTATTAAGATTGTTTTGTTTGCTGAAATGTACATCTTTGTACATAACTCTTTGTCCACATTTCTGATTATTTCCCTAGGATAGAATGTGAAAATGGGGTTAGTGAGTCACTAGGTTATAAAAATTTTTTTCTCAACCTGAAAACTCCCCCTGCCATATACTATATAAATAAATTGTAAAAAGTACAGAACTTAAGAAGAAGAAAGTAAAAGTCACTCCAAGGTATGCACATTTCAGTACAAAGCCCATTTTCTAAGCCTGATATCACTGTGTGTGCCTAATGTGCACCTTTCCAGGAGTGAGTGGGTCAGTCTTTTAATTTGAAAACTTCCCTAGACTTACCGGAATTAAAAAAGGAAACTTAACATTTGTTGTCTTCTATCTTTCTCTGTGTTTAGGATGCCTTCTTGTGGCATTATTTAGTTGTATAATCATGTCAGTAGTTCTCAAGAAAGGAATTAAGCAAGAAAACCTGGCCCCATTTTAAACAAATGTATTTATAAGGAGCGGCAAGGCAGAGTGAATTTATTTTGCATGTGCACCAGAATAAACTACCACTAGATGGCAGTACTCTACAGCCTTGGATTTTAGTTGGCTCTGCCTTTAAGGTATGTTAAGAAATCACCAGTGGAGGAATTTTGAGCCTAAATAATACTTTCCCTTTTACTAAAAATAAATGTAACTTCTTCATGTTGCAGAAAAGTAATGGAGTGGTTTAAAATAAATTTAATTATAATAGGTAACGTCTCAGAATATAATGTAAAAATGCTTTCTAGCTGTGCTTGTCAAACTTTAAAGTTGCATTTGAATCACAATGGGATCTTGATAAAAATACAGGTTCTAACTCTGTAAGTCCAGAAATGGACCTGAGTTTGAATTTCTGATACTCTTCTCAGTGATGCCAGGTCTCAGAGATCTAGAGGTATGTTGCTGTCCTCTATCTACTGAGTACTCTTCTGTACTAGGCACTGCTCTAAATGCTTTACAGGTTGAGTAACTTAAAATATACTAAGCAAATGGTAGAGAAGGGATTCTAACTCAGACTCTCTGCTTCCAGAATCTTGTGGTGTTAACCATACTAAAGTGCTTCCTTGTCTGGGCTGTGAGTAAATTAACCTTCTTCCTAATTCAGAAAAAACTTTCCTATCAGAAAGAGGTGTATCTTGGTTTGGCTGAAGTTAGTGTATAACTTTGATTCTTTGTAGATTATGGACAACATGTTGAGTAACTTCTGGGTCAGATACTTGCTTTTTCCAATTTGATTTTTTTAGTTTGTGCTTTGGTTTCTAAGAAAAATCTTCCCCCAGGCTCCCAATAATCAAAAAGGTTATATATGGGAGGGTAATATATGATTTGAAATTAGCGAAAGAGTGATTACTGTTTTTTTAACCTTTTCTTTGTTTGCTTGTTCATTAAGAAAATATTTCAAAAACACCTTTTACACATTTGCAAAAACTCAAAGGTACATTCCTTTGATGCAGTAGGGTTGGCTTTATGTCAAGTTACATGTAATGTCTATTAATGAGAAAAAATGGTAAGGAAATAGGAAATCTAGTTTTGTGAACTAGTTGAAGCATATTTGCTTAATATCTTCCATTATTCAGACTACTACCTACAATTGCAGAATTTAAGTTAAAATTCTTTACATATTATACTTTTTAGGGAGAAATGACTGATCTTAATGGCTGTATTGGGCTTTTTTAAACAAAAGGAGTGTGGGAGATGTGTTTGGAGTTAAAAAATGTTTATAGTTTCTCTAATATATGCTTTTTTAAAGAACACGTGACTGGGTTTTTATAAAAACGGTAGTTTATCTTTGCCTTTTACACTATTGACAATGCTTGCAAAATTTAGTGAGTGGCATAAACATGGACAATCAAATTATAATTTGGGAAGATACTAAATCAGTTTTGAAAAGGTAGATTTGAATTGATTTAAAAATGTTATTAAAATTGATGGAATTTATTTGGTAATCTGAACTCTACTTGTTTTTGAAAAAAGGAACAAAGATATCTCTGCCAGATTTTCCTCTGCTTTTGCTTCATTGTGTCACTACAATAGTGGTGGTTGATATGGCACTTTACCTAGTTAAGATAAGCTTGCCAATTCAGAATTGTATTTCGAAAAGGACAGCATTAATATGGACTGACAGAAAATATGACTGTACAGTGAAGGAAGAATGCTAATGTTTTAAGGTCAACAACTGCAAATACTTAGCTTGGTAAAGTAAGGTACTTTAGTGTATGTAATTTTTCTTGCTACTATCAAGATGATTTAGCTTAAACTTCCTTTACTTATAATATGACTTTAGAGACCCTATAGTTACATCCTCAGTTATCATAAATTTGTCCTGTAGGGCCAGGACAAGTTGACAAACATTAAAATGTATGTGGCTCTTTCAAGTGTGCGAAAGGGACATT